TGCTTTTCTGTTACTGTTTGAGACTTATCTGCTATGTGCTACAGGCCATTCTAGATACTGAGATATAGCAGAATAGAAAACAGACTCAACAGGCAGGACTTCTTCGGTCCTTGCTCCTCAGCTGTTTTGCTGTTGTGCCAGATTTGCAAGACCCCAAAAGACTACTAGGAGTCAAGTTCGTTGCAAAGCACATGAGGATCTTCTTATTACAAGCTATAGCTTGGTCTCACATCCTCACCTCTGCAGGGGTTGAGAGCAGAGAGCCCTGTGCTCAGGTTGGGTGGTTGATTTAAAGATTCCAGCCCTCCCAGCGTGCCCAGAGCAAGGGAATTCCACCCTGGCAAGCATCTATAGGTTGAAACACAAAAGGGGATGTTGCATTTTGATCTGATTAGCTATAAGAAGGCCCCCAAACCATTAAACTGTCTGGCTTCCCTTGTTTGGCTGTCCTAGGAGAGAGGGGTGATCTGGACCAGTTTCCTAGCAACTGTATCTCTAGTGGGGAGGAAAAGAATGCAGTAAAGCTGATTCCTCCCCACAGGTGGCTGGACATGTCTCCACCTGTCTGGCCTTCATTCATGCTTGTGCTTTAAATTTTAATTCAATAACCCAAAAAACTAATTTTTCTTTGGTCTCACTGCTGCTGCCACCATTTTCCTCCACAACTACTTTGTTTCCAGCCTTCTTATTTGATGTACCAAGGCATTCCTCTCAGTTATTTCACATGACTTCTAAACAACTATTGACTTTAAAGCCATCCTTGTTGGGTTTCCATATTATCAGACTTGCCTACATCCATTTCTACCTCTTGTGGTTGTCTTCCTGCCTGGGTCTTCCACCTGCCCATGAAGTCAGGAGGGGTGCAAGGCAAGGAGCAATGGCCTGCAAGCATTGTACAGAGATCACACACCCCGGGAACCGCTGCAGGGTCTACTTCAACTTTAATTCCGGAGAACAAAGGCTATCTACCCTTGGGGAGTAGAAGGGGGGCTCCAATTGGTTGGAACTAGGCACTTCAAGGATGCTTGATTTGGATTAAACAGCACAATCCTATCATATAAATGGAAACACAGTACCTAATTATCATATAGGTGTGGGGAGGGCAAGAGCTAGCAGGGAGCTGTGTCAAAGACCATATATCAAACGTGGTTAGGAGTGTGTGTGTCTAAAGACACTCTCCAGGTGAAGTCAGTCAGATAGCAAAAGGCCCTGCTGGGAAGAGGGAGTCCCTGTCACAGAGGGAGAACTGCAGCATCAAACAGCAGGGTTCCTCTGACAACCTCTGACAATTGCTTTTTATTCTTAGTGTGATATACTTTTTCTGTTCTTTCACATATCCCCAGGTTTGCTTGTTTTTTTGTTTTTTTTGTTTTTTGTTTTTGTTTTTTTTTTTTTTTGAGAGGGGGTGGGTTGGTTTGAAAATATGTATTTGCTCTTGTTTATTGTTTCTGGCTTTCTTGAGACAGGGTTTTATTTATATAATTTATTTTTATTTTATGTTCATTAGTGTTTTGCCTGCATGTATGTCCGTGTGAGGATGTAAATTCCAACCCAGATCAGGCCAGGACTCTAGACTGTTATTTCTAAACTAACCACTGTAGCCATCCCTAAGATATGGCCTATGTCTGACATGCAGAGTTCTGACATCTCTATGCATGCATCTGCCTACATCTGATACTCAGGGTTCATTTAATCATCTCCACTGTGTAGTCCCTAATACTCTCCTTGTAATAATACTTCTGTCTCAGTGAATGAAATCTCTTTGCCATCACTGAACTGTCCATCTTAGACCTCACACTTTGCCTTACAACCTATCTTCAGGTCCTATTCTGTCTCCTAAATATTTGTATATATTCGTTTTTCTTGTCTGTTGCTTAAGTGTCATGTCTTCCAAAAATTCTGCTTTGATCTGTTAGTTGAAACGTAGTTGTTCTTGAAGTGTTTGCCCGTAATATAATAATTTCATTATACCATTCTTCATGCTTTCCTGCTTTTTATGTATCACTCTCCCAGGATAGACTGTAAGTTCACTGTGTCAGGCCCTGTGTCTTTTTTGCCCGCTGTTGATATTTGTCACAGTACAACTAAGTGAACGGGACTGTGAAATAGTCCTAACAATTGTGATTTACCTTTTGAGGTAAAGAGTCCCTTAGCATGAGGATTTGTGAGCAAGTATACCTTTGTAAGAATGTATACTACTAGGTACAAAGATACATGCATTCTCAAGGAGTTGTAGGTAATTCACAGGCCATATGCAATTTTGTGGACCTAGCTTGACAGCTCTAAATAGAAACTGCAGGAAAGGACATTTTTCTTTGTTTGTTTTTTTCTTATTTTTTGTAGGCAAAGTTTATGTATATATTATGTTTTTTATACTTTAAATCTTGAATAGAGATAAGGTCAAGTTTTATTTTTCTTATAATTAATTTTACATTTTAAAATAATAATTTTGGATAATCTTGCAATGCACTACATTTTAAGAGAATTCTTCATTGAGTGTGTAAGTTTACTTTTAAACTTTTGGAATTATAAAATATGTTCTCAGGAGTACCCACTTTTCCCTTTATAATATTTATACTTTACTGTATATAGTGATGGTTTTCTATATTGGTTCAATTTCTTTGTCAGATCTTTCTCATTCTTGCTTTCTGAAAACAATCTAATTGAGTTTCTTGTTCATTTTTCTCTTGGGCTGCTTACCCAGGGGAATATTCTGGTGTGTATGTTTTTAAATACTTTCCTATTACTGCTTTTTAAGCTAGGTGTTCTTGGCTGCTGTTCTCATTTGATGCTTTTTCATCTTTTTTTTTTCTGCCTGACTTTTTTCTTCTGCATATATTTTTAGCTTTTATGGTGCTCTAAATGTTTGAGCGTTTGTTAGTTATATAAGCTTTTGAGCAAGTCTGAGCTATGTTTCTTTGTCTCTGTATCTTTACTAAAAAAGTTAGCATTAGTGTGTAAGGAAGATATTTGGCATCATTTTGGAGGTGGAATTTGGAAGCTTTCAGGTTCACCACCCCAATTTGTGGTAAATACAAGATGATTGTGCTACTAATTCTGATGTTTGAGGATATTTGAAAAATTATAATACAGATAAAATAGGGACCCATATGTTGGCATTAAATTTTTAATGCTAACATTCCCAGGTTGGTTTTGTGTTAAATAATTTAAAACTCATTAGGAATATTAACTTTTTAAACTTTTTGGTTTTTCTTTTTTCTTTTTCTTTTTTTAAGGTTTATTTATTTATTATATATACAATATTCTGCCTGTATGTATGCCTGTACACCAGAAGAGGGCACTAGATCTCATTACAGATGGTTAGGAACCACCGTGTGGTTGCTGGGAATTGAACTAAGGACCTCTGGAAGGACAGCCAGTGCTCTTAACCTCTGAGTCATCTCTCAAGTCCAACTTTTTGGTTTTTTGAGACAATAGGGTTTCTTCATATGGCTTTGGCTGTCCTGGAACTCTCTATGTAGACCAGGCTGGCCTTGAGTTCAGAGATCTGCCTGCCTCTGCCTCCCGAGCACAAGGATTAAAGGTGTGTGCCACCACTGCCCAACAGGGATATTAACTTTTTTTCCTTTTTAAAGTAAAAGGACATGCTAACTCCTTGGCCATAAGTAATATTCTTTAGAAATATTTTCTTTTTGCTTTCTTGAATTATAAATATTGCTTCTCCTATTGTCTCATTCTCCAACATTGTCATAAATTTAGAGTGAATGAGTTATTTTTTGTTTTGGTTTTTTTTTTTTTTTTTTTTTTTTTTTTTTGCTTTATTTTGCTTGGTTTTTTGTTTTGTTTTGTTTGTTTTTGTGAGACAGGGTTTCTCTGTGTAGCTGTGGCTGTCCTAAGCTTGCTTTATAGATCAAACTGGCCTCAAACTCACAGAGGTCTGCCTGCCTCTGCCTTCCTGAGAGCTGGGATTACAGGTGTGCATCACCGTGCCCGGCTTTCTTCAATCTCTTATGAGAAGCAAATAGCTTTATTTTTCTGAGAGGTGGCTATAATGAGTTTTACATTAAATATTCTCTCTATTATACTACTTATTAGAATATTAAGCACAGTTCTATAAAGTGACAACTGAAAATTATTATTTCATGTGTGGCACTTTGTAGGGCACTTTGTAATGTTGACTTGGAGTTTTCACTGTAAGTCAATTTATTGTGAGGCAAAATTGGTGAAGCGTTTTTGAGTATCCCAGAGAGCATCCTTATGAATGAAGGAAGTCATCTTTATTTCTGCCTCTTGCACGTCATTATGCATTGAGTCATAACATTGTGAGTCCAGATGTTTTTCATACATGCATAGAACTTTATAGACTAACAATATGTTTTCATGCTCTTTCTTACATAAAACATTTCTTGTTCTGTTTTTGCTTTACATGGAATGCATGGCCTTTAAGACCATAATTTCTTTGGTAAGGTTTCATCTGCCTTGGGGTTTTGTCTTTGGCCTTACTTCTTTTTATCTTCTATTAGTCAAATAAAAATTTTTAGTCAGAAGCCTATAATAGCATCTCTGATTTAGAAATGATATTTGATCCCTATCAATGCTCATTTTTCATAAATAATAATACTTATTAAGAATATCTGGCAGAATAGTCTTGATCATCCTGAAATCCTATCTACGAAAAACAAAATGTAACTGATAGATGTGAAGAACAGGCCGAGAAGAGCTGCTGATAGCTTGCATCTGCAGCACCAGCTGTTGGAAAGTTGAGGAAGATGACTTGAACCAAGGAAATTGAGACAGTCTGAGCAGTGTAACATAGCAAGATCCATTTCAAAAACAAAAAGTGAACAGTAGCAGCTTTAGTCTGTAATGACTAGTTAATTATAATTTTATCCATTCCATAAAAACATTAAATGAAGTAGACAGAATAAGATTAAAGGAAAGTAAAAAAAAAAAAAACAATGAAACTTAGGACCATAGCTCATATGTAATTTTTGATACATTTATTTTTAAAGTTTTTATCTTTTTTTTTTTTTTAATAGGAATGGGTCGTGAAGTGGAGAATCTCATATTAGAGAACACACAGCTGCTGGAGACCAAGTAAGCAAAAAATTTTAACTCAATGAAAGATAATGTGTTTTCTCTGTCCAAGTCAGTGATTGTGACTGATTATTAACAACACAGCACTGTACTGACTCCTACCCATTTCATTCTCTTCTCAGCACCTGCGCACACACAGGGACATGGGTAACGAGCACCTCATTGCCCTCATAGGTTTTATTGCTCTGATATTTTTGTAAAAATATAGTTTTTATTTCTTTTCCACCATATAAGTATCCATTTTCTAGATGTGTCATTCACCTCTTTTTTTTTTTTTTTTCTCTAAGACATGCCATTTTCTTATTCTCTTTTCATTGGGTTTTGGCATTTCTTCATGAATGTTTTGGCCTATACCCAGCCACTTTTGTAGATCTCTCCTTCATAGTTTTATATTCTTGGGTAGTTTGTGGAGTCTTAAGGCCCTCAAGCCACCTGTTGGGGTAATTTTTAATGGGACAGGTCCTTTGTCATGTGAAGAAGCAGATAGGGTCCACTTGTCAGTTGCTGTGCCAGAGCAATTTTGGCATAACTGTGTCTGTCCACACAGAATGCCACTAACTGTAAATGAAGTCACACCCAACATATCCAAATGTACTGTATCTCACATGTTTTTCTTTCAGCTTATTTCTAATCCAAACTACTTTCTCAGTACTAAATGCCAAAGAGAATTTGACGGTATTGTTGAGTAATACCTTTGCAGAAATTTTAATACTAGTAGCCTTAGAAAACTGGGTTATGTTTTGTTTTGTTGTTTGTTATTTGTTTTTCAAGACAGGGTTTCTCTGTGTAGATATGGCAATCCTGGAACTTACTTTGTAGACCAGGCTAGCCTTGAACTTGGAGATACACTGCATCTGAATCCCAAGTTCTGGGATTAAAGGTGTGCTCATCACCGCCTGAATAGAAAGCTGTTTTTTAACTTGAATCTTTCTTAATGCTGATTTTATTTATTGGTGGTGTGTCTTGTTTTATCCATATTGGCTTGACAAGTATGAAGAGCAAACATTAAAACGATTGTTTTATGGCCTTTGTTTATTAAAAAACAGCAGAAAGACCATATTGTGGTTCTTAGTTGATCCACCTTATGATTTGACAGTTATTTTAGTTTTTAAAGATGGAAAGTATATTTGTAATGACACTTGAAATATGCGTTTTTAGAAATGCTTTGAATGTTGTGAAGAATGATTTAATAGCAAAAGTGGATGAGCTGACCTGTGAGAAAGATGTGCTGCAGGGAGAGTTAGAAGCCGTGAAACAAGCCAAGATGAAACTGGAGGAAAAGAACAAAGAACTGGAGGAGGAACTCAGGAAGTAAGTCTCAGCAGCTCCTCGATCGAACCAGGCCTGTCCAGCCTTTGACCTGCAGCATGAGGCTGTCATCTCCCTGTGTGGGGCTGTGATCATAGTCACCCTGGGACACACTCCTGCTCTGAACTAAACACCATGCCTGGGTGCCACAAAAGATTATAAGTGTAACCCTGAGACTGAGGCCTTCAGCTAAGTCAGATCAGGAAGGGCCAAAGGCCACCTGAAGGAAGTAAAGGTCTCAGCCATTTGCCTCTGCCATGAGCTGGCCTCTTTGTTTACCAGTCTCTTCCTCAAAAAGTCTTGGGTTTTGTTTTTTTTCTTTTGCTTGTCCATCATGGTGTCAAAAATTGTAACTGTGGGTTGGAGAGATGGCTCAGCAGTTAAGAGTATTTGCTCACTCTTCTAGAGGACCAGAGACAACCCACACCAGGTCGCTCTCAATTGCCTGTAGCTCCAGCTTTAAGGGATCCATACCCTTTTCTGTTTTCTGACCTCTGCAAATGCTTGTGGAGGCAGGTGTGCGTGTACACACATGTGTTTGCACACACACACACACACACACACACACACACACACATAAAGGATAAAGTAACTTTTAAAGTAACAACAACAAACATAGGGGACGGAGCGACTGCTCAATGTTTAAGAGCACTTGCTGTTTTTGCAGAAGACCTGAGTTCAGTCCCCAGCATCCACATTAGTCGACTCACAAGTGCCTGGTGCACACACACTACCTGGTATACACTCGCATGCTCACACACAAATATAAATAAATGTTTAAAAACAAACAAGAAAATTCTTAAGTCTTCAATTAAAAAAAAAAAAACAAACCTTCAATGCCAGGTATAGTGGTGCACGCTTGTAATCCCAGCACTCAGGGAAGCAGAGGCAGGCCTCTAATTCACTGTGAGTTGAGGCCAGCCTGGTCTTCAAACTCAAAACAGCCAGGGCTACACAGAGAAACCCTGTTTTGAAAAAAAAAAATTCATTATTTTTCTCTACTTAGCTTACTTTTGTTGTCGTTTTTGTTCTTAAGATCATCTTTTGTGGTTCAGGCAGGCCTCTAAGTCACTGTGTGTAGCAGAGGATGGCTTTGAACACCTGTTCTTTGACTCAGCCTCTTAAGAAGCTGAGATTATAGGTTTGTGCTGCATGGCTAACCTTTTTGAGTTTGTTTTTGTAGTTTATTTTTTTTGAGACAGGGTCTCATGTAGCCCACACTGGCCTTAAAACTCATTGTGTAACTGAGAATGACCTTGAACTCCTAGTCCTCCTGTCTCCACCTCCCGAGTCCTCAGATCTCAAGTGTGCACCACCATGCCTGTGTACCACCCAACCTCCTGATTTTTTGTTGTTGTTGTTTGTTGGTTGGTTGGTTTTTTTGTTTGTTTGTTTGTTTGTTTTTCAAGACTGGTTACTCCGTGTAGCCTTCATTGTCCTAGACTTTGTAGACCAGGCTAGCCTCAAAGTCACAGAGATCCACTTGTCTCTGCCTCTCTGGTTGCTGGGGTTACAGGCGTGTACCACCATACTTGGCTCCTGATTTTGTTTTGTTTTAAGAAGTGCTGTGAAGCTGGAGAGGTGCCTCAATGGTTAAGAGCACTGACTGCTCTTTCAGAAGACCCTGGTTCAATTCCCAGCACCCACATGGTCGCTTACAACTATCTGTAACTCCTGTTCCAGGGGATCCAACATCCTCACACAGACAAACACATACTTGCAGTCAAAACACCAATGTACATAAAATAAAATTAAATTTAAAAAAGGGCCATGATAACATTTTTCCAAGTTGAAGGCAACAGACTGCTACCCCTTTTCAAAAGAAAAATAATTCTTTAGAGTTAGTTCAAAAAGCTTACCTATTCTTTCATTACTTTTGAAGATGAGTTCAATTCATCTTTTTTTTGCTTTTATTCCCCACTAGAGCTCGTGCAGAAGCTGAAGATGCAAGGCAAAAAGCAAAAGACGATGATGATGTAAGTTTATGATTTGGGACTATTTTTCTTAGAGCTTTTGATAATTTGGGATTGTCTTACTAATATTTAGTATTATATTTAAATAACTTATAAATACATTATTAATAAATAAAAGCCTTTCAAAGAAGACATGTTTATGGGTCATGAATAAGCTAGCTCATGCTGCCATATGATATCCACGTGTTGTATTTTCTAGTGCTGTGTGCTCACTTTTCCTCAGTGGTTCAGTGCTCAGTGCTCTGACGTGTGTTAGCATGCTATTGTTTCTGATTTTTAAAAGGTACAGTTTGTTGTGTAACCCAGACAAGCCTCCAGCTTACAATCCTTTAACCACACACATCACACATATTATGGTGCACTTGTGTATACACATACACATACATACACATACATACACATACGTACACACATACACACACACACATTAATTAATTTTATCTGTTTTGCCTGCCTGTATGTCTGTGTGCTACATATGTGCCTGGTTCCTAGAATCCACAGAAAGGTTAATTAATGCTTAATTAATTAAATGTTTTAGATGGGCTGGAGATGGTTCAGCATGTAAAGGTGCTTGCTGCCAATCCTGACAAATGTGAGTTCAGTCCCCAGGACCACGTAGTAGAGAGAACTGACTACCTCAAGTTGCCTTCTGGTCTCCAAATGTGTGTTTTGGAATTCACACATCCACACACATACATAAATGCACATCACACACAAAGTACATAGACACACTAAATAAATGTAAATGTAATTTTTAAAAGCCTAGAATACTGCCAAATATGTCCTCTACCCTAAAGGAAGCAGAATTCAGGGTGTGTGTGTGTGTGTAGCCTTGGCTGTCCTCAAACACCTGCTCTTACCTCCCCACCATCACCACTGGGCAGAATTCAGGTCTTTTGTTATTTGTGGATGACTTTTGTTTGAAGAGGTGGGCTAAATTCTGAAGCAGGAAAACTGCCAAGGGCTGAGCTCAGCTTCTGTTTGACCATTCCAGTATTTTACTCTTTATCTAAAGTACAAATGTTTCTCTCCACAAAACAAAGCCCTATTATTTATTATTAAACCTACCTGCTTCCCCAGAAGAAAGTTGAGATAGCAGCAGTTAACTTAGACATGCTCTTGGGAGCCTTACTTCTTATTCCATGTTCATATCCTGTTCTCTGTAGCAATGATTTTGATTTAACCTTGTGTTTTATTTGTTTTCGCTTTTATTTGTTTTTACTGTTATAGTCGGATTCTTTAGCAACAAGATAATAGGTCGCTATTTATGTTGGCCCCTGTTTGTATATGTGGATTGATAGTTTTGAAAATGAAACTCTCTTGGAACTAATTATAATTATTTGCTGAATGTCACAGACCATGAATTCAAAATGTTAGATAATGTTTCTAAATAAAATTTATGAGGGCATATTAAATCTTTATTTGATATTAGCTGAAAATTTTAATTTTTAATAATTATTTTCATGTTCAAATAGCAAAACTAATACTCAGAAATTAAATTGCCTACTTCTTTTCAGTCATACAGAAAAATATGAGTGCCTGACTTTATTTTATAAAGATATTTCAAAGTCATTGAGTTAGAAATAAAGAATGCTTAAAAATTTAAGATAAGTTTTAAGCGTGAGTCTAACACCAAAACATGTAAACTCCCAGAGTAATTTGCCATCCTCTTATCATTATAGAGTGACATTCCCACAGCCCAGAGGAAGCGGTTTACCAGAGTAGAAATGGCCCGAGTTCTCATGGAGAGAAACCAATACAAAGAGAGGCTGATGGAGCTTCAAGAGGCTGTTCGGTGGACAGAGATGATTCGGTCCGTGTGCGACGTGTTCTGATGTTTCCTGTTGTTTCATTAGATGCTTGTGTTCCTTCATTGCCAGCCAAAGTCATGCTTGAGGGGTTATGCCATTTTGTTTGTTCACTTGGAGAAACTTTCTCGTTAGTGTTTAGATTAGTAATAGAACAAGATCAGAGATATCCCAAAGACTTTGAGATAGTACAGGACCCATAATGCTCCCATAATCTGTGAGAGATAATTGTTATTACTGAGGAATAATGATCATTTTTTCAAAAAGGGGAGAGATTAATATTCTAAGTGTCAATTTCACATGCAGAATAGAAAAAAATTATCTTTATTTAGTATCCTCCTATTAAATATACTTCTTGACTGCCTCCTCCTTACTCTTCATGAAAAATACTTTCCTTTGGCATCTTTCAGTCAATTAGATCTTTGTATTTTAATCACTAAGGTGTTTTAATGGCTCATATTAGTGGTGTCAAATCAAGTGCTAGTATGTGCATACAGTGCAGTACAGCCGTCAAGCCCAGCCCCTCTGCTCACTCTCCACATCTGCTGTCCTCTAAGTAATCACTGTTTTTACATTCAAGCTGACTTCCTCTTTAAACTATCACTTTATGAGAGGAAGTGTAATTGTTCTTTATTGGCTCTTAAATCTCACACGTTGCTGCCATCTAGTGGTGATGGTCCCGGTAAGTGTTCCCTCCTTTAATTCAGAAAAAGATATAGAAAAGTTTGCCAACTGACTGCCATTAGTTTACTCATATTCTCGAGTTTGGATTATCACATCAAATTTATACATTATACATAGTTTTTAAGTTTGTAAACCTAACCTCCAACCTTTACTTCCTTATATTTACATCATTTTTAGCACTACTTACTTAGTTAAGCTTTTTATGCGAGTTAAGAGTATATCTTTTAATATTTTTTCCTTGCTTTCATATTATTTGTTGTTTGGTTTTTTGAAAGACGGTCTTATTCCAAACTAGCCCCAAACTTACAATCCTCCTACCTTCGCCCCCTGTGTGCTAGGATTGGTATCATGTACTGTGCCATCAGATTAAGTGCTTTAATATTGTTAGTTGTAGTACTCTGTTCCTGTAGTCTTGCCACTTGAAAGATGAAGATGACAGGATTGCTTGAGGCCAAGAGTTCAGAGCTAGTCTGGACAACATAGTGAGACATTCTTTCTTAACAACATCAGTAACAAAAAAAAAAGTGGAAAAAGTTTAAATATCAACATTGAGGCTTGTTGGCCATTTGTCTACCACAGGAATAATCTGACAAGAATCGGAGCTCTTTACCTAAGCATGTTAGATTTAGCAGGCTGTTTTATGTAAGCTCAAAATAACTGCTTCCTAAATGTAGTGTTGACTCTGCATATCTCATGAGTTTCCTGGGTCTTTTGCTCCTTGGAGAAAAGAGTAGAACACCTATCTAATAATACTTTTTTTAAATTAGGGCATCACGAGAAAATCCAGCCATGCAAGAAAAAAAGAGGTCAAGCATCTGGCAGTTGTAAGTATACTAATGACAGTGAGCACAAATGATACTCTGAGACAAGAATATTATACTGACTTTTACTGGGAGGAAATAGCTAAACTGAAATTCTTCTCTTTAACATACAGCATGCCAACTCGGTAAGGCTATGCTTGAGGACCCAAAGTAGACTATCGTAAGCTGCACTGTGTTGGTTATGCATTTGGTGGACTCATCTGCTGGTTTACATAAAATAGTGAATTATTTGTAAAATTGACAGTTACATGAATTCCCATCAAAGAGAAGATGAGAAATTTAGTATTTGCACTGCTTGGTTAGTCTGTGTGTGTTAAACTTTATTATATTTGTACCAGAAGTACTGTGTTTACTGAAGTTAAGACTTACCTTGTTAGGATTAATCTGTTTACTGGAAGCATAAATGTTTTAAAACTGTGGACATGAAAATAGTTACTTAAATTGAGCTTAGAAAATTCATGGTGTGAGTTAACTTGGTGATGTGTGTTTTCAGTGTAATAGACCATTCTAAGTGCTACACACCAAGCTTCAGCTGTCATCATATCATCTCCCTGCTGCTTAACAGTCACTGTGACCTTGTCTCAAATACTAGCTAGCCAAAGAGCCCTTGTATTTGTTCAGTAGAAGCTTTCTGTATGCAAGAGCATCTCTTTTGATATGGAACTTGCTTATTAAAGAACAGGCATTTGGCATTCTGAGCAATAGTTTCCTTCCCGTGAATGTCCAAGTTTGGCTGTGACTGACTGCTAAGGCTATAGTATAACTATAAAAACTGGTTTTGCTAATGTCTAACTCACTGCCTGGCAAAGTTTTGAAATTTTCTTGAGCATAAACCTTATAGGAAATCAGGGATTGGTTTTCACAGTGCATATAATATACCTGTGGGTTTTGTTTCTTTTGTTAGTTTCAGCAGACTTTTTAGCTCTTCAAGTAATGCGACAAAGAAGCCTGAACCCCCTGTGAATCTGAAGTACAATGCACCCACCTCTCATGTGACTCCGTCCGTGAAGAAAAGGAGCAGCACCTTATCTCAACTACCTGGTGATAAATCCAAGGCATTTGATTTCCTTAGCGAGGAGTAAGTATTCCAAAAAGCCATGCCAGAGTAACTTAATAGAATTTCTCATTCCTTACTAACTCTTTTGCAGTAAGTCAGATAGCTCTAAAGGAACTATTTCTAGCCAGACGTAATAGTTGAGCCTATTAATCCCAGTACTCAGGGTATTGATATAGGAGGATCATCACTAGTTCATGGCCAGCCTGGTCTGTATATACAGTTCAATGCTAGCATCAGCTACACACTTAAATTCCATCTTAAATGGGACTATTTTATGGAGTTGGGCCATGGAAAGAAGGGGAAAAAAAAAAAAAGAAAGATGGATTTCTGTAATGTAAGTAAATTACCTGTAGAGCTTAGCAATGTAATCCTAAACCTGTGGGAGCTGAGCCAGGAGGATTGTAATTTTGTCCCAAAATGAATGAATGAATGAATGAATGAATGAATGAATGAATGAATGAATGAGTGACTTGTAGCCAGTACATCTTATGAAAATCAGGACTAGGAAGCTGGCTCAGCAGATAAGGGTGCTTGCTGCCAAGATTGATAAACGAGAAGGATTCCTGGGACCTCTATGTTAGAAGGACAGAATTGCCTCCCACAGGTTGTCTCTTGACCTCCCCAGGCATACCATGGCGTACATGCAAGCACGCACAGATGCGCACGCACAGATGCACACTCACAAGCACATGTGTGAGACAAATAAAATATATAAATTTTTGAAAAAAATTGGACTTCATAGTTTTCATAAAGAAAAGGAATTTTTGTTGACAAAGCAATATTGATAAATACCAGTAGAACTCCCGAAGACCTAATTTAAACCTATAATCCTAAGTGTTGTGACTCTGCTACATGCATGTGGATAAATTAATCTCTCAGAGTCCATTTTTTTCCTCTCTGAAAATTATAACCTATTTCACAGGTATTAGGTTAATATTGTATACTATGTATAATGTGTGACACACAATAGAATTTAAGTGTGGTTTATATAGAAAGTCACTTCACAATAATATAAATGGCCAAAGAAAGAGAAATTATTTTTAGAATCATTTTTATATTTTATTCCATATTTCTAAAGCCTACTAAGTCTGTTTGCCTTTTTGTCTTCTAAAATAAGTGAATAGCTAAAGAATGTCTGAGCAGTTCAGAACACTGGCTGCCCTTCCAAAGGACCTGGGTTTAGTTCCTAGCATCCACATGGTGGCTCACATGGTCTGTGACTCCAGGCCCAGGGAATCCAATGCTCTCTTCTGGCCTCTGAGGGCACCAGGTGCGCATGTGGTGCACAGACACGTCTGTAGACCAAAACATTCAAAACACAAAATTAAAAGAACTGAACCTAAATTTTTAAAAAATGAAATAAATGAGTAGAATCTAAACTGTGGCGCAACATCTGGCATTAAAACATTCTCAGAATTTGTTAAATAAGAAAAGGAAGATCCCAAATTACTTCAGAATTTTTTCTTTTAAATATAACATCTGAAACTTTGTAAGTGTGATGTCTAATAACTCACTTTAATACTTTAAAGTGATTTAGCATGCTACTTACTACCTGTTGAAGGCTGGTTTCACAAACATGGAAAGATTAGCTTTGGTAAAATCCTCTGCGTGCAAGTGCGTGTGTGAATGTGTGTTATCAACCTCTTGTACCCCAGGGTGGCCTTGAACTCTATGAAGTTGATTCTGAGTTGAGTGGTTTTTTTGACTTAATTAAAACTGCATCTTCTTTTAGAACTGAGGCTAGTTTAGCCTCCCGCAGAGAACAAAAGAGAGAGCAGTATCGACAGGTAAAGGCTCACGTTCAGAAGGAAGATGGTCGAGTACAAGCTTTTGGCTGGAGTCTGCCTCAGAAGTACAAACAGGTAACTTGGGAATGATGAGAGTGCCTAGCAGGAAATGCAGTTTGAGAAGAGTATGCTTGGAAAATGTGAACTAGAAAGAATATCCTAAATTGCTCATTTCAACCTGCTTGGACTTGGCACGTTTAGAGAAATATGGAGGATAGGGGTTTTTAAGGTGTTTTTTAGAGCCATAGAATGTAAATAAAACATTCTAGGTCTGTACTCCTAAAAACTAGGCACTTTTGTGTACAAACATCTACTTTTGTGTGCTCATGTGTGATTGTGAATTTCTGCCTTCTACTGAGGTCTTCTACTTACTGTCTGCAATTGCTCCTTGAGTTTTTGCTAATTTTTCAAGTAAGAATGACAGAATCAAGCTAAGCTTGACTTCAGGAGCAAGTATGTAATGGCCATGCTTGCTTATGTCGCGGTGCTTTTGTAATTTCAATGTAATGGGGTTTACTAATGTATGTCCCCATCATTACTAGGCAGCCAATGGTCAAGGGGAAAATAAGATGAAAAATTTACCCGTGCCTGTCTATCTCAGACCACTAGATGAAAAAGATGCGTCTATGAAGGTAAGTTAATTGTGACACTGAAGGAGAGACTTCTCAAACTCCTCCAGGTAGCTATTTTCCTCCAAAAAATTATTTAAATATTGCTTTTGTAGTAAATTGATTGCTCATTTTAAAACGTGGAGATGTTTTGTATGTAGAGATAGAATATGTAATTCAGGTGGCCTTGAACTCTCTTTTTTCTTCCTTGTTTTGCTCTTGAATCCTTTATCTCTGCCTTATTCTCCTAGTGCTGTGATTACAGGCATGTGCCGCCACATCTAGTGTATAGCCTTAGACTATACATGGTTCTACCTTTAATTTTTTTAAGAAAAGATGAAATTTTTCTTCCTATTTGTAGAGAGAAAAAAAAATGACATAATACCTTTCTTTCTCACCCCCTGCCTCCGATAAGCTGTGGTGTGCTGTAGGAGTCAATTTGTCTGGTGGCAAGACAAGAGATGGTGGTTCTGTTGTTGGAGCAAGTGTGTTCTACAAGGATGTTGCTGGTCTAGACACTGAAGGCAGTAAACAGCGGAGTGCATCTCAGAGTAGTTTAGATAAGCTGGATCAAGAACTCAAGGTAGGTATGCACTGATATTTGATCTCCTGCTTCGTGAGTGGAGGAGTTCAGCTCTTAAATACAAAATGTATTTGAGCCAACTTACAGTGGGGATTGCTGTGCACTTGCTTATTTTCTCAAGATGTCCCTTTTATGTTTATTTTATTGAGATATTATTTGCATATATTCAAATGGCTACAGTTCCATTTTGCCAAATGTATGTAACTACTGCAAAGAAGATACAGACTTTTTTTTAATCACCAATCTGCTTGAACTAACTAAATTTTAGTCTAGTAATACTGATAAACAATTATATTTTGACCCTTCCAAGTAATCTGGAAATAACTTGAATTAATACTGCACTTAGTAAGAACACAGTTTTAGAGATATTTGCTTGTTTATATAATTTTAAGCATTTTTCTCTGCCTACTCAGGAACAGCAGAAAGAATTTAAAAATCAAGAGGAATTGTCCAGTCAAGTCTGGATCTGTACCAGCACCCATTCAGCTACGAAGGTTATCATCATTGATGCCGTTCAGCCTGGCAACATCCTAGATAGTTTCACTGTTTGCAATTCTCATGTTCTGTGCATTGCCAGTGTCCCAGGTAAAGCGAGTGTGCCTCCTCCCTCTATGCGCTCTCCACGCTTTGTTCAGGTGGAAATTGCTGTGGCTGCTCAAATTGTGCTTCTGTTTTTGCTCTTACAGATTTCATATTCTAGTAAGAGATTCACAGTAAATAAGTGTGAAGAATATTTTAAAATGTCAATAGGAGGTTGAGTGATGGTAATACATGTCTATAATCCCAGAAGTTGGGAGGCAGAGACAGAGGCAGGTGGATCTCTGTGAGTTCTAGGCCAGCCTGGTCTACAGAGTGAGGTCCAGGACAGCAAGAGATAACACAGAAAAACCTTGTCTTAGAGAGCAGGGGTTAATATGAGAGGATAGCTGGTTGATAGAGAATGAGGAGCTCCCTGGATTAATTAGTACAAGAAGGCCACTTGAAGTTCCGGAATCAATGTGTAAAATTAAAACAACAGTTTAGAAATTTTAGTCAGCCATAAAAGAAATGACATTCTCTTTTCTCCTGTTATTTGTGGTTGGAACACAAATTTTTTAAAAAATTTTTTAAGGAAAGTCATCTGAACTACATAGTGAGATTCTGTCTCCAAAAGAAAAACAAAAAGGCTAAACTGACAACTCATAATATCATTAAAAAAATAAACTACTTTAAATTTTAAAGCTGGGTGGTAGTGACACATATCTTTAAGCCTTTAATCCAATACTCGGAAGGCAGAGGCAGGTGATCTCTGAGGCCAGACTGGTCCATAGGTCTTCCAGAACGGCCAGGGCTACATAGAGAAACTGTGTCTCCAAAAACAAAACCCAAAATAAAAAATATATTTTAAAGTGATAAAAATGTTTTTTTAATTTATAAATGCTTAATTTTTTACATGTTTTAATGTTTTAAGCCACTGTTTACCTTTTAAATGATAGTATATAGAAGCCCATCTTTCAAGTAGTAATCATAGTAACTTTAAAATGACTTGTTTTGATTTGTTTTGTTTTTTTTTGGTTTTTATTTTGTTTGTTTTATTTTGTTTTGTTTTTCAAGACAGGATTTTCTGTGTAGTCCTGGCTGTCTTATAATTCACTTTGTATACCAGGCTGGCTTCAAACTCATGGAGATCTGCCTGCCTCTGTCTCCCAAGTGCTGGGATTAAAGGTGTATGCCACCACCACCAGCTAAAAATAATTTTTTAATGTATTTTTATTTTCTGTGTATGAGTTTTTTGTCTGTATGTATGTACCTGTTGTCTGTGGATGCCAAAAGAAGGCATTATACACTCTGGAACTGGAGTTAGATAGTTGTAAGCTACCATATATGTGCTGGGAATTGAACCCAGGTCCTCTCTGGAAGTGCTCTTAACATTAACTTATCTCTGCAGACTCCTCCTGCCCCCAACTTTTAAAGAAGGAAAGTTTTATTTCATTTTATTTATTTTGTGTGGTAGTAGAGAAAGCATCATATCACAATGCCCATTTTGAAGGTCAGAAAATAACTCTCATGAGTTGGCTCTGTCCTTCCATGTGGTACTGGGAACCAAACTCGAGGCCATCAGGCTCAAAAGCAGGCACCTCTGTCTACTAAGTCATCTCACGAGGTCCCTTCCCCTTCCCCTGACTTTATATTAGATATTACTTGTTTTTAACATCATGTAGCTGCCGAGGAATTTATTAGAGCAAAGTTGCCACATCCTTTTTCTCAAATTGTACTTTGTCTAATTTCTAGTTAGTATGAAAAAATTTCTTGGAAAATGTTATTTATTTTACTTACTTAATTTCTGAAATACAGGACCTTTTACAATCTTTACATTTTTAAACTGTTTTTATTGTGTGTGAATATATATGGTGTATGGAGAGGCTGCATATGCCATGGCACATGGATGGAGGTCATAGAACTTTGTAGAGTTGATTTTCTCCTTCCACTTTAAAATAATTCCAGCAAGCAGACTTGAGGCATCAGACTTGTATAGTAGGTGCTTTGCCAACTGAGCATCTCATTATCATCTTTTCTGTCTTGTATTATTATGGCTTAGCCAGGTGTGGTTTTGGGAGGCTAAGACAGGAAGATCAGGACTTTAGGGTCAGCCTTGACTTCATAGAGTTTAAGGCCATCATAGACCAAGTGAGACCTTGTCTCTAAAAAAATCATACCTCCCTATGTTGTTGTCTAATGTTAATAAATCCATATTATAAATATCTTTTAAATGTTTTATCTGTTGTGTGTGAGAGAATGTACACATGCCACAGTGAATGTATAGAAACGAGAGGATAAAATTTGGGAGTTGGTTTTATCTTCCCATTGTGGGTTATAGGGACCAAACTCAGGTCATCAGGTTTATGTAGCAAATTCTTTTTACCTTCGGAGCCATGTTCACCTGCCCTATCTTACACAAAACAAAAAACAGAGGTATTATCTTTAATGTATTTTTTATTAGAATATAAACTACTAGAAATATTATTTTACCTCTAGATTACTTTTTCATTTTATCAAGATTACTTTAAATAAATTTAATAGAAAGTAGCTACCGCTTATAGTTTGCTAAGTATTCAAAGAAAATTCCTTTTTCTTTTTCTTTTTTTTTTTTTTAAAGGAGCTCGGGAAACAGACTACCCTGCAGGAGAAGAGCTTTCTGAATCTGGTCAAGTAGACAAAGCATCTTTGTGTGGAAGTATGACAAGCAACAGCTCCGCCGAGATGGACAGCTTGCTGGGAGGCATCACAGTTGTTGGGTGCTCCACAGAAGGAGGGGCAGGGACTGCCACTTCCCCCAGTACCAACGGTGCTTCTCCAGTGATAGAAAAGCCATCAGGTACCCCTGTGGGGAGTCTACCCAGGGTGAAAGAGCTGGGCAGATGCTGAAGTGACTGTGAGAGGAGTACTCCATGTCATTGTGCAGTGCCAGGGAGTGCTTGGTGGAGGGGAGTTTCAGAGCAGGGGTTGGTGGGTGAAAACTCATTCAGCATAGAGTGTTTTTATGTGTTTATAGAAATGGAAGCTGAAAATAGTGAGGTTGATGAAAATGTTCCGACAGCAGAAGAAGCAACTGAAGCCACAGAGGGCAATGCAGGGTCCACTGAAGATACTGTGGACATCTCGCAGCCTGGCGTGTACACAGAGCATGTGTTTACAGATCCTCTGGGGGTTCAGATCCCAGAAGACCTCTCCCCGGTGTTTCAGTCAAGGTATGCATCCTAAATCAGATACTTGGGAGATGCACGAATAAAAAGAATCAAAACAGTGTCAAGTAGCCAGAGGGATCTGAAAGATGTTTTATTCTCTCTGGAGATTTTTCTATCCATTTCTTTATTTTTTTTCTCTCTCTCTCTCCTAAATAGGGTTTCTCTGTGTAGCCCTAGCTGTCCTAGACCTCTCTCTGAGACCAAGTTGGCCTCGAACTCACAGAGATTTACCTCTCTCTACCTCTCAAGTGCTGGGATTAAAACTGTGCACCACCACCACCCAGCTTTTTCATCCATTCCTTTTTCTTTTCTAAGATTGATGTATTTATTATTTATACAGTATTCTGCCTGCATGCAGGCCTGCACACCAGAAGAGGGTACCAGATCTCATTATAGATGGTTGTGAGCCATCGTATGGTTTCTGGGAATTGAACTCATGACCTTTGGAAGAACAGCCAGTGCTCTTAACTTCTGATCCATCTCTCCAGCCCCCACTTCTTAACTATATTTTCTAATTAAAACAAAACAAAAACGGAACAAATACATACCCTTGTTCATGTACTAGTCCAAGTCTTCCTGGTCATTTTCTCCTCTGGTGTTATTATCTTTATGTGTTTTCTGATTTCCATTCTGTCACTCAGTCTGGTTGTTTTCTCAACTTACTCCCACCCCAGTTATCATCAAAATTAGCCATAGTTTACATTTGTCACTGTTTGTTTTTTTCCAAAATAGACTTGAGGCGGCCCTTTTGAATTTAGTTCTCATGCACAGTTTGGTGTTGAGGCCTCTGCTTTAAAAGACTGTGTTATCCAGAGCCATTGGGTACATTTTTTTAAAATCCCTCTATACAGCAATTTGTAAAATGGTTTATTTCTACAGTTTGTTTTGTATACAGTACAACCAAGAGTTTGTTAGCATTTACAATTAATTCCAGAATAAAGTCATGCTTTGAATTTGATAGCTCAGTTTTATATCATCCCCTTCTATGCCATGACAACCCAAAGAAGAGGTTTGTGATGGAATATAAAAATGATTTGCCATGGTTTATTTTATAAAATTAATTATATATTAAAACTTATACATCAACCTACTCTGGGGGTGAGGTAAGTGATTTTAAAATAAAACTATCTTTTTCTTATCTGTTCCATTCACCCCAGAAAAAAATATTATTGTCAAAATAATTAATAACAAAGCCAAAGATTTTTCTGTCATGTTTTGGTTTGGTTGGTTTGGGGTCTTTATTCTTTTTGAAAGCCATAATTAAAGTATTGGATATTAACTGATTAATTTTATTATTATGTCTTACCTTACTCCCTTTTTTTTTTTTTTTTTTTCATTTTGAGCTTCCTAGTTGTTAGTATTTCTGGTACAGTTGTTGAACTACTTAACGTGTAAGCATTTAACACTGATTTTTCTGGAATCTCCGTTTTATTGTAGTAAACTTAAATGTATTTAGTTCCTGAGAACTAGAGCTGAGTCTACTCAGTGTTTTTTTCCTGTGCCTCATTTTCCCAGCAGTGACTCAGATGTGTACAGAGATCAAGTATCAATGTTGCCAAATGAACAAGACTTGGCTAGAGAAGAAGCTCAGAAAATGAGCAGTCTTTTACCAACCATGTGGCTTGGAGCTCAGAATGGCTGGTAAGTACCAGCATCCTGATATAACAGCGCCCTTAGTCAGGCATGGAGTGCAGGCCTGTAATCTCAGCACTTGGGAGCTGGAAGCAGGAGGATTGCAAGTTGAAGGTCAGCTTGGGCCACAGAACCTTCTGTGTTAGCCTGGGCTAGGTAGTGAAGTGAGACCCCTTCACAAAAGACAAAAGCCTAGGTAAAAGAGAAATGAAATGTAGTAAAAGTATATAAACAAAGAGTGTAGATTAATGCAAAACCTTTTATACACACAAAATTTGTTGCAACTTTTATAAACTAGACTTCCATTAGTTTTAAATGGTAAGCTTTTTTTATCTTTGTCACAGCATGTTCTCTTTATGTACTATTCTTAGGAGGAAAGGTAAACAGGATTTTTACATCTGAATCAGACCTGGTAGTATATGGGTATGATTTCAGCGCTCAGAATGCTGAGACAGAAGGATTATAAATTTTAAGTTAGCCTGGCCTAAAATAAGATCCTCTCTCAAAGAAAAAATTTAGATCTAGTATTGAATTAAGAATAAACCAGACCAGATAGTGGCAGTGTATACCTTTAGCCAATTTCTGATTTTAAGGCCAGCCTGGTCTAGCAAGCAAGTGACAGAAGAGCCAGGGCTACACAAAGAAACCTTGTCTCAAATTCCTCCTCCTCCTCCCCTCCCCTGAAAAAGAATAGACATGGAGCTGCAGTGGTGGTTCTTTTGTGAAGGGTGCTTGCCTCTCTTGTAGAGGATCCCGTCAGTTCCCAGCACTCACGTGACTACTCACAACTGTTTGTAACTCTGGTTCTAGGCCTCCACAGTTATCAGGTACACACATGGTGCACAGACATGGTGTACATGCTTGCCTAAGTACACATACAAAATTTTAAAATCTTAAAAATAAAAGGTAATAAATTACAGTTTGAAAGTTCAGAGGATGATAATTTCTATTACATGGGTTTATTCACTTTTGTTTTATTCTTCAACACAGGGTATCTCTGTGTAGCCTTAGCTGTACTGGAAGTTACTCCGTAGACCAGGCTGGCCTCAAAATCAGAGATCCACCTGCTTCTGCCTCCCTAGTTCAGGGATTAAAGGGGTGTGCCACCGCAGCCAGCCCAGTTCATTCATGTGTTAATATTGTGGGACCTCTTACAGAACAGTGTACTTCCAAGGATTAAACAGGGTTGGGAATTCTGTATCTTTTCCATAAGAATCTGAGTTAGTCTGTAGGCCACTGTCAGCCAGTGTCTGATGTGAATCACTCTGTCATTCAAAAGTTGTATGTAATAGAGATGTTAGCTTATTCATGAAATGCACTTTATGCAAATAAGGCATGGGGCAGCCCAGAGTTAGCTGGTGTCATTGGTAATGCTCTAGTGTCAATACTAGTTCTAACTTTGTGGTTTTCATGTTTCTGTTTGTGTAAGTAGCCTGTTTCTCTGTCTTAGGGACTTGTTCTCTCTCCCTTTTCCCCCTCCTCTCTACCTTCCTTTCTCCTTCCATCTTCCTACCCCTTGCTCTTCCTTTTTTTCATATAACAGCATCAAGCCCTTTTCCTAAAAATTGCATGTTACTCTCCTTTCCTCTTGGTGGTGCTTGTAGTCATTCTTAGATAGAAGCATTGATAGAGACCGTGCCTTAACAGTCTTGACTTTCTTCCTGCAGTTTGTATGTCCATTCATCTGTAGCCCAATGGAAGAAATGTCTCCATTCCATTAAGCTCAAAGACTCAATTCTCAGTATTGTGTAAGTTTTATTTTTAAAATTACTCCTTTTAAAAGTTTTGATTTTGCTGTAAAGTAGATTTTAAGACTATTAAAGCTAGTATGTATCTCATGATAAATCAATTTACAAGCTTGATTTGTTTGATTGTTTATTTTAACCATTATCTTAGTTACTTTCCTATTTCTGTGATAAAACAACAGGACCTAGGAAACTTATGTAAAGAAGGGTTTGTTTGGGCTTTTGGATCCAGAGGGATAAGAGTCCCGTCACTACAGGGAAACATGGTAGCAAGGAGACTGGAGCAGGATGCTGTGGGCTCACATCTTGGACTGCAAGTAGGAAGCAGAGAGAGGAAACTAGCAATTATGCAAATCTTTTAAACTCTGAAAGCTGTCCTCCAGTAAGGCCATAGTTCCTCCAAACAGCACCACCAAATGGGGACCAAGAATTCAGATACCCATGGCTATAAGGAGACAGTTCATTCTAACCACCACCATTTTAATGGAACTAGAGAAATTGAATGAGAATGAAATTCTAAAGTGAAAAGTATAGTAGAAAACATTTAAGTAGAAGAGAAAACTTTCTAGATTGAATCTTTACTATAATAGTTCTGTATTTGTTTTAGATTATAGCCTATAGCTTGGCAATGTGTTGATTCAGTTGTTGATTTGCTATTTCCTTTTTCATATTTTTACTAGCAAATTTCCAACAGTCTGTTTCTAAATCTACAGGACTCATTCTGTTAGATCCTGTCAAGATGTGTTCTGGTCTGAAAAGTTATGTTGGGGTATTATGAGAGGAGGAGCCTTGAGCCAGAAAGCAAAGCTCCCTGAGATCACCACATATGCTGCGCATTAGTTTCCGTGATATGTTTCCATAACAAGATGCTCACAGTGAAGACAGCAGCACATTCAAGTGTTATGTCAGGCCCTCATCACAAAGTAGCCCTTTGGGAGGCTCTGCACCAGATCAATAACATGTGGTCCATTCTGGGCTCCTGAGTGAAGGTTCTGAAATCCTTTTTCCTATTTTCAGGCACGTTAAAGGAATTGTGCTAGTGGCCTTGGCTGATGGCACCCTTGCCATCTTCCATAGAGGAGTTGGTGAGTTTTAATAATGTTGTACACTGACATGTAGCTTTGCAGAGCATTATCAAGTTGATTCACTTACTATATTTGAAAGAAATGTTATCTAAAAAGAGAATAAGATTTTAAGGAATATATTGGTGATATATGGCAATAAATATATGGATGGCTTTGTGGAGGTATGCACTAAGTATTTCTGATAGTCAAGTGTTTATCACAATGAACATTTTAGCATTTTCTGTGCCTGTGTATTATATATACATTATCTTAGTATGTATGCTTATGATGTGTGTGCATAGGTGTTCCTGTATGTGAATATGGGCATGTGTGTGCCTGTGTGTGTGTGTGTGTGTGTGTGTGTGTGTTTAGGTCACAGAACAACTTTGTGTTAGTTGTTATTACCTCCTTACCTTGCTCTAGTTACGGTCTTTTGCTATTTACCCATGTGTATGCCAACCTAGCTGGCTTCCAAATTTCCAAAAATTCTCCTATTTCCACCTCCTAAGAGAGCTGGGGTAACAGAGGCCTGCTCCTGTTTTACATAGATTCTGGGGGTCTCCGCTCAGTTCCTCACATCTGCCCAACAAGCGCTTTATCTACTGAGCCATCCCCAACTCTCTGATGCCATTTTGTAGTATAAAACAACAAAATTTTTTCATATACTTAATTAGAAAATATTTGGCAAGGATAATTCTTCTATTCTGTATATGTGTGTATTCGAGTGTTTTGTTTGTTTTTGTTTTGCTTTGGTTTGGTTTGGTTTGGTTTGGTTTTTCAAGACAGGGTTTTTCTGTGTAGGCCTGCCTCTGCCTCCTGAGTGCTGGGATTAAAGGTGTGCACCACCACATCTGGACCTTTTTTTTTTTTGAGATTGGGTTTCTCTGTATAACCCTGACTGTCCTGGAACTTACTTTGTAGACCAGGCTAGCCTTGAATTCACAGAGATCTGCCTGCCTTTGGCTCTCAAGTGCTAGGATTAAAAGTATATGCTATCACACATAGCCTTTATTTTATTTTTAAATAATAATTTCTTAAATAAGTAATTTATTTAAGAAAAAAATTATTTTGTTTGAGAAAGGGCCTCACTCTGTAGTCAAGATTGACCTAGAGTTAATAGTCTTCTTGTCTTAGCCTCCCAAGTACTGGAATTATAAATATGTGCCATCCAAGTCTGGCTTATTTACTTATTTTTTAACCTATGTGTATGTGTCTGGATGTGTTTATGTGCACTACAAGTATGCCTGTGCCCACAGATGCCAGAGGATATCAGATCCATTGGAACTGTAGTTACAGGCGATTATGAGTCACCAGTTGTTGGTGCTAGAAACCAAACATGGGTCCTTTGCAAGAGTAGTAAGTTCTCCTAACTGCTTCCAGCCCATAAGCCCCCCAGTCATCTTTCAGTTGAGTAAAGTTTAATCATTTGTCATGTCACATTATTTCTACAACCACAGGCAAAGATGTGGCAACTTGAGAAAGTCTGCCTCAAATGGGCTGAATTAAGAAGAATATGTATCATTATAACTAACCTTGCTGTGTGTGCCATCCAAAAATGATACAGTAGGTTGACAGATCAAGGAAATATGAAAACGATAGACTAAATTGGGTGTTAATGAAATCTCCTAACCGTGTGGCATACAGATGTGTAGGTAGATGATGCTTGAGCACCTTGCACTGCTGTAGAGGTTGCTCGTTAATTTTCTTTGTCATCACAGAGAAATGGCTGTTTTGCTGTTTTCTGGTCTTCTATAGAATTTTCTGTAGTTAAACTTAATTAGCTCTTACGAAGAAGGCTCTGTTGTCATCTTTATTACTTAGCTGAGCAAACTGAGGCCAGCATTTTAATCACTTATTCATAGATCCTCAGTCAGTGAAAGAGACTAGAGAAAGTGGAATGATTGAAGTTTTGATAAACAGAATAAAATTATATTTGCAGAATAAAACAAATTACATCTATTAAGAATCAGTATAAAGTCCTACTTTTGAGTTCAAAAGAGCAAGTGATTTCTAAGGAGTTAGAATTACCGAAAGGCCAACTATCAGCTCAGTAAGAGGTAATCAATGTTTTAAGCCTCCAAAAATACAGTGTCTGTCACAGGGATGGTGATGATCCTTTCTACTGAAGCATATGCAGTGGGAGTCAGCAAAGTGGAATTAGCATGGCGGGTTTGTGGAGGATGATAGGAATAATACACACAAAAATACTTGGTTTGAAAAGGCACAGAAAATCGGTGATGGTGGTGTACACCTTTAACTCCAGCACTCAGGAGGCGAGACAGAGGGATCTCTGAATTTGGGACGAGTCTGTGTCTACACAGCAGGTTCTAGGACAACCGGGTCTAAAGAAACCTTGTCTTGAAAAACCAAATCACCCTTCCCCCCAAAAAAAGACATAGAGGTATAATAAAGTCAAGGTTGTACTTACTCATTCTCTTTCAATAGGCAAAACTATATAGACTATTGGGTGATTACATGCACATGCTTTCTCAGCCCTCAGTGTTTGTAATTGCTCAGCATGTGGGACATCAGATTTATAAATTAGAGATGTTCAGCTCATATGTACAGCTCCTGAAATGTTACCATGAGTTGCCTTCAGTTTCTACTAAGAGAATCTATCAACATGCAATTAAGAGATATAATCCTCCAGACAACTATCTGTTCTCAAGTGTATGTTATATTTGTGTACATGCTACTGGAGACTTGGTCTAGAGTCTTGCATGTATGACACAAGTACTCTGCTTCTAATGTATGTCCCAAGCCCTAAGTCCATTCTAATTTTAAAAAGACTGTCATATTCAGATAACCTACAACTAATTTGTTACATTACTGGGCTGTTTGTTTGTTTCTGTTTTTCCTTTTTTGAGACAGGGTTTCTCTGTGTAACCCTGGCTGCCCTGGATTCACTGTGTAGACCAGGCTGGCCTCGAACTCGCAGAGATCCACCCACCTCTGCCTCTCCAAGTGCTGGGATTACAGGTGTGCCACCGTGCCCAGCTCTTTTTTTTTTTTTTTTTTTTTTTTGTAAAGCTAGGTCTCACTAAGTACCCTTAGTTGGTTTGGAACTCACTGTATAAGCCAGACTGACCTGGAGCTCAAAGAGAACTGCTTGCCTATGACTACCCAGTGCTGGGATTAAAGTTGTGCACCACTACACCAAACTATATTACCACTTTTGAAAACATGCTTTAAACGGATTCTAGTTAATGGGTGGTGGGTTGCAGCAGATGTTTTCCGATCTCTTCCAGCTATATAGCTAATAAAGCTATACTTAATATATGGTGCTTTAATTGCCAAGAATACACAGAGAAACCCTGTCTTAGAAAAAAAAAGTACCTCATCAATAAAAAGTGGTATGATTAACTATAATCTACTTCTTGTTTTAAAGATGGACAGTGGGACTTGTCAAACTATCACCTTTTAGACCTTGGACGTCCTCATCATTCCATACGATGTATGACTGTAGTACATGACAAAGTCTGGTGTGGCTATAGGAACAAGATCTATGTGGTTCAACCAAAGGCTATGAAGATAGAGGCAAGTTAACCTTTATTTTTTGTGTACATACTGATTTGGTATTCCTACAATACTAAATTATTTTCAGCTTCTTTAAAAACCGTTTAAAGGCACTGCAGGTAGAGTTTTGAGTATCTTAGCTTTCTCTGTTACTTTACCTTCCTGGTTCTTTTGACTGTGAGGGAAGGAAATGATGGTATGTGTTTGATTCGTTGGTTTTTGGTTGTTGCTTTTATTTTGTTTTGTTTCAAGGACAGAAGAGTCACACATAAAGGGTGTGTGTCTGTGTAAGTCTCTTCATATGTATCTATTTGAATGTGTTTGTTGTTGTTTGAGGTTTCGTTTTTGTTTGTTTGTTTGTTTGTTTGTTTGTTTTGAGACAGGGTCTCTCTACATAGCTCTGTATATCCTGGAACTCACTATATAGACCAGGCTGGCCTCTGAGATCTACTTGCCTCTGCCTTCCAACTGCTAGAATTAAAAGTGTGAAATACCCATTCAGGCTGAATATGTGATTCTTGATATATCTAGTCATATAAGGATTGGTTGAGAGTATTCCCAAGTTTCCTTTGCCTCTACCCTATATACATTCAGACTCATCTGCATCTGAGAAATAACACTGCACTGAAATTTTTTTAAAAACAAGATCGTAAATTTTTGCTCACAATGTATCCATTCTTACTGTTTAAAAAAAATCACAATAAGAAAATTTTAGGTGAAATTTCTATTTCTTTCTGCCAAGCATGTCTCATTTTCTTCTCAGGAATCTCACAGTTAAAGCTAAACATGATAGCACACCCTGTAACCCTCACACTGGGGAGGCTAAGGTAGGAGAATCGCCACAGACCTGAGACTAGCATAGGCTGCATAGCAAGACCTTGTCACAGTGGCCACGGCCTCTGCCAGATACTTCCCACAGGTGACCATTTTTCATGGCTGCTCCTTATAAAACAACCTGGATCCTTTTAGTTCAGTTACCAATAGGATCTAGCTTCTCGTTTCTCTGTCTCAACACCAAATCCTGATGTCACGGGTCTGAGCCCCTTACATAGTCTGGATGTGCCAACACTGTTTGTTTAGGTAATGTCCCGTAAAGGGCTGAAACCCAACACCACTTGGTTTTGTTCTTCTCTCACCAGTGAGGTAATCTCACTGTGACACTGAACTCACAGTGACTCCCCTGTCTCAGACTTCCAAGTACTAGGATTACAGGTATCAGCCACCATGCCCAAATACTCTTTGGTCCTTATTGTTCTTATTTACACATGCGCCTGTGTGTGCATTTGCGTGTGTTGCATTCTGTGGTAGGAGAACAGTCATACAAGATAAGCAAATTTAGCCCCTTTAATACACAGTCTTCAGATTGTTGTGCAGATTAGCAGAGGTTTTTTTATATGTACCTTTGTGTTTTGCCTGCATATCCATATGTCTGTGTGAGAGTGTTGGATCGCCTGGAACTGGAGTCACAGACAGTTGTGAGCTGCTGTGTAGGTGCTGGGAATTAAACCTGGGTCCTCTGGAAGAGCAGCCAGTGCTCTTGGCCACTGAGCCATTTCTCCAGCCCAAAATTCACAGGTTTTAAATGATTTCCTATGAGACAAAAGTAATTTCATCAGCCAGGTGGGGAGGGGCATGCCTTTATAATCCCAGTCCTCCCCGGGCAGAGGCAAGTGAATCTCTGAGTTTGAGGCCAGCCTGGTCTAAAGAGTGAGTTCGGGACAGCCAGGAATACACAGAAAAACCCTGTCTCAAAAAAACAAAACAAAAAAAAATAATTTTATTATTAAACATCTCTTCTAGAAATCATTTGATGCACACCCCAGGAAGGAGAGCCAAGTACGGCAGCTTGCATGGGTGGGTGATGGCGTGTGGGTCTCCATTCGTTTGGATTCCACACTCCGCCTCTATCATGCACACACATACCAACATCTCCAGGATGTGGACATTGAACCTTATGTAAGCAAAATGTTAGGTAAGCTTCCAAAGTGTTTTCTTTTTAAAAATCAGTGAGAATGCTTTATTTTTATTTGTTTTATGCAGTGTTGTGGCACTAGCTCAGGTCCTTGTGTAGACTGAGCTGATGGGCTACTGATAAACTACACCTCCATCTTCCTCTAATTCTCTGAGAAAATCAATCAGTTACCACATGAAGAGTGAGCTTTCATCCATGTATAGCATGGTCATTAACTAAAATTTGGGTTTGTTTGTTTTTTCTCTCTTTATACTTTCTATCTTTTGATGACCTGGAACTCTGTCCAGTTTGAAACTACCTTAAGTCAATTACTTTATCTTGATCACTGTCACCTTAGGCCAGATCCCCTTTGGTAACCTTGTTTCCTAACTGGCCTTCTTGTTTCTACACTGCTCTACATGGTAATGTGCAAAAACGGCTTGATGCGCTGACTCTAGTGATGCTGGGATCATCACCAGGGCACTTTACATGGTGTAGACTAGCTTCCCTGCGCAGTATAACCATGTCAAGAAGCTCCTTCCCGTTTCAGGGCTTTCACATGTGCTGTGTACCCTCTGCCTAGCAGGTTCTTCTTGGTCTATGTTTACTTGCTCTCAGGTTCTCATGTCATATTGAAGAGCGACCTTTATTTAAGCCCTGTATTTAAAAGTAAAAAGGAGCTGGGCAGCAGTGGCGCAGGCCTATAATCCCAGCACTCGGGGAGGCAGAGGCAGGCGGATCTCTGTGAGCTTGAGGCCAGCCTGATCTACAAAGTGAGCCCAGGACAGCCAAGGGTAAACAGAGAAACTCTGTCCTAAAAAAAAAAAAAAAAAAAAAAAGGAGAAACAGGATCAACCTGGACCTCACAAAAATCTTCCTGCCTCTGCCTCTTGAGAGCTGGGGGTGAAAGGTATGTGTCACCACAGCCAGCTGTCATTTTCATAGGTTTAGCATTAGTGGGATTGTACCCATATGCCATATGTTTCTACCCCATAGATGAAGCCTAGGAAAGGCAGGGACAGTCTCTGGGCTTGTTCTTTACTATGCTTTTAATATCTAATGCCGTACTGTATGGCTACTGGGGCTATCCTATAGGACTCCCTTCCTGAGGAAAGGTTGATTTCTCTCAATAGTTTTTAACCTTTTATGGTCATTGAACACAGAGAAGCTGACTAGCTGTGAACTTACTCCATAGAATCAAGAGTTGTGCTTTTACCTGAGTGGAAGATTCATAGCTTAGGGCTGGAGAGATGGCTCAGTGGTTAAGAGCGCTTGCTGTTCTAGCAGAGGACCCAGGTTTGGTTCCCAGTAACACCCACATGGCAGTTCAGCAAATATGTGTAACTCCAGCTCTAAAAGATCTGACACCCCTTTCTAGCTTCATCAGGTACCAGGCATGTGAGTGCTGCATATACATACGTGCAGGCAAAACACTCACACATAAAATAAATCAATCTTTAAAAAGACTGTTGTTTTGTTTTGTTTTTTTAAGATTCCTAGCTTAATCTGAACAGGAGTTAAAATTGTTTCTTACATTGCTTATATGATCAAGACCTCAGTTTTTTGAGCCACTGATGTTTGTCTCAGATGTTTTATTTATTTAATCATTACATTTTTCAAATCTCTAAAAATGAGATCAATTATAAAAATTCTCTTAAAATATAAAAACTTCATTATTCTTCCTAAGTTTTATATGATATCCCAATACTTCTAACCTGATTTAAAGCCTGAGTATATAAACAAGAAAAAAAGGTATGTTTTGTTAGCAAAGATTGTTTTTTTATACATGTAAAGAAATTTAAAGCAAATTAGGAACATTTTCAGTTTATAAAATCAAATAACATTTGATTTCCCAATCTAGCAAACCCCAACTTTTGGTTTGTTTTTACTTACCTTTATTTAATGTTTGGTTTTTTTGGGGGCGGGGGGCTTGAAGCTCCCTTAATTGAATTTTGAGCTGTATTTTTTATATACCCTTATTTTCTTTGTACTTTCCTTCTAGTTGACAAAGTAAAGCCAGCCATATATAGAATTTTCTTTTTCCATTAGCCTTGACTTGTCAGATAATAAAACCAATAAAAATTTGCTTTGAGTTGAACAGGTGGTGTCTACCCACAACCCTAACACCCACCTATAATCACACCACTGGTGAGGAAGAGGCAGAAGAATCACAAATTCAGGGATAGCCTTGGCTACTTAGTTAGTTCAGAGCCATCCTATGCATGAGACTTGTCACACACACACACACACACACACACACACACACACACACACACACTTGCTTTGCTTTGATGTACACCTTTCCAGCACACTTTGTTCTTTGTTGTTTTTTGCTTGTTTATTTTTTTGAGACAGGGTTTCTCTGTGTAGTCTTGGCTGCTCTGGATTCGCTTTGTAGACCAGGCTGGCCTTGAACAAATAGAGATCCACCTTCCTTGGCCTTGGCCTTCCTGAGTACTGGGATCATAGGCATGCGCCACTGTTGCTGGCTACTTCTTTGTTGGTTTTAAACCAGAGACTCCTGGAGATTTGGAATCTCATTTTTTCTAGTTTCTCAATAAAAGGTTTTTTCGTCTCCCTTCCCTACAGGTACTGGAAAACTGGGCTTCTCTTTTGTAAGAATAACAGCCCTTATGGTGTCTTGCAATCGTTTGTGGGTGGGGACAGGAAACGGTGTCATTATCTCCATCCCATTGACAGAAAGTAAGTATATTTTAAAGTAACTGTCACAAGTCAAAGAATTGCAGGAAATAGTGGTGCCTAGAATTTAGACCGAAGGAACTGTTTAGATTTTGGCACATCTGTGACAATGCAGAAATGAGTTTACACACTCTACAGAGTCAGCTTGTAAGTATCCAGACCGTTGTCTATATTTCAGTGTTCTTATTTTGTAGGAAGCTCTTTTTCTCAATTCAAGAGTCACAGCCCTATTTTCATCTTTGAAATAAAAGGTCCATTTCTCTTCAGCTTTATTACACCAGTATTCAGAAATGCTACATTTCATTCATCATAGTTATCATTCACTCTGGCTAATGGTTATGGCTATCCCATTTGTTGTTTTTTTTTTTTTTTTTTTTTTAAACTTGTGGGAGAGATCTCAGTTCACTGAGTCTTTTCTTGTACTGAAGATAGACTGTCTGTTTAAAAGGAATGTGCTTTAGTATTTTGGAGAACAAAGTGTATCTTGTATGTTCCTCGTGATACTCCATTACACTGATCATCCATTGGGTGTTTTGTGTTGCAAAATATACAGGTGAGAAATAGTTTTGGGGGAAAAATACCTTAAATCCATCAAATAAGTTGATAAATTACCTTGTTCAGTGGAAGGGAGGAGAGAACACCAAAAGGTAGATTTGGGGCCCTTAAAGAATCTGTGTTCTCAAACCCTCCTTGTTTTTCATGCAGTTACTCACAAGTCTTCATGTCCAAAGCACTTCTTAAACCTAACACACTCCAAGATGTCTAGGTTACCTTTTCTCTTTAAAAGAGGGTTGCATTTAGCACAATTATTTAAAGGTGGCTTCTTCAGGGTAAACTGAGAAAGGGAGAATTTTAGTATGCACTCCATATCAGTTCTTAGGGTTTTGATCTCATTTCACTGAAATGGTTTCGTAAAATCATAACAAATCAAATCATTGTTTTTGAGTAAAGGTATTTGCCTTGGTTACGTTATTTGGTGTTCTGCCAGGTTGGCATGACTCAGTAGGGCCACGTGGAAGAGGCTGAGTGGTGGCTCACAGTAATGCTTCTCCTTCTGTCGTGCACTTCCCCATGTCCCCTTTCCTCCTCTCTCACTTTAGCGGTAATCCTCCACCAGGGACGTTTACTGGGGCTGAGGGGTAAGTGCAGATCCAGAACCAAACTTCTTCCTGGCTTCTCAGAGCCACTGTGAGGCTGTCTTCTTTTCTCTAGAACACCCTTTTGAATGTCGTTCAGTGTCACCCACTCGCAATCACTGCATTGCAGCAGATTTTGTGTTTTTTGTTTTTGTTTTTACTTTAAACATTTGTTACATAGCCACCAACTGCTCAGCAGCTTAGTCTATTGATCATCTTTTGTTGCAGCTAAACTTTCTTTCAGACTTGGTTTTCCTTCCAATAAAAACATGAAACATCTCTTAAAACTGTCATTAATCTACATTATTTACTCTTGTTACCAATCATGTTTCTTTCATTCACTTACCCATGGAATCAGGGGTATTTTGTAAGTCTGGCCATTCTATAGGAATTCAGCAAACTGTCAGCCTGGCACAAATGCACGCTTCTTCATGGTGGAGCCTGGGTGCTTTTAAGCAAAGCTTTCCCAGTCCTTACCATGGGAGAAAAAAAAAATCAGGAGATGAACTATAAGATCTTATCTAAGAATATGCCTTTGTCTATAGTTTATATGATGCTTATTTTCCTTTAATAAAGACTAAAAAACAAAATTATATAGATTTAACTATGATTCAATTCTGTTTTGTTTACTACAATGGTTTCCCTCAACTTAGAAACTTAGTCATTGTTAGACTGGCAAAATCCCCTACTCCATTACTGAGGTACTTAAAAATAACTAGCATGCTGTATCTCTTTCCAGCTTTGCCTTGAGCTGGCGTTGCTGCACTTATGTTATCTCTACTGGCTGTAGCTCTTAGATAATATCATAAGGATTAACCAGTAACCTCTCGCATCAGTACTATTTTCTAGAGGAAAATACTTGGTATTTGGTTTTTCTTTTGCAGCAAATAAAACCTCAGGGACTCCAGGTAATCGCCCTGGAAGTGTAATCCGTGTATATGGTGATGAAAACAGTGATAAAGTAACCCCAGGGACATTCATACCCTACTGTTCAATGGCACATGCACAGCTTTGTTTCCATGGGCACCGGGATGCTGTGAAATTCTTTGTGGCAGTTCCAGGTGAGTTAGACTATTCTACTGAGATATGCATGTTGTTGTGTCTATCTTCCTTGTGTTTTACCATCCCTCCAAACACTGAATTACTAGGATTGCCCACAATTTCAATATAGTACCTAACGAAATTCTATAATGGAGATGTGATTGGAGTAAAATAGATTACTTGGATGAAGTTATTTTGCAATCTCTACTCCCTAGAACAGATATTTGGGGCATTGCTTACTTTTGGAAATCAATGGTAATATTTTGTCACAGTATATTATTAAAAATCATCTGTAGCTACACAGTGAGTTTAAGACCATCCCGAAACACCACAGTCTACCTACAGAGTAGAGACTAGCTTGGAACTCACTGTATAGCCCCTGTTGCCTGTGAACTCTCAAACTCCTAATGCAGCCTCCTGGGTGCTAAAATTACAGATGTGCTTCACTATACCGAGAGTGTGTGTGTGTGTGTGTGTGTGTGTGTGTGTGTGTGTCTGTGTGTCTGTGTGTGTCTGTGTGTGTCTGTGTGTGTCTGTGTCTGTGTCTGTTGTGGTGGCAGTGGTGGTATATGTATATGTATGGGTGTATGCATGCATGTGTCTGAAGGTGGAGGTTGATGTCAGGTCCTTCCTCAATTGCTCGCCACCATACTTTTTGAGAGTCCTTCACTGAATCCAGGACTGACTGATTAGCTAGAGTGGCTGGCCAGTGAGTTCCAGGGATATCTGCCTACATACCTACACATCTGCGCCTGTACCTCAGCACCGGTATTATACATGCTCACCTTGCCCAAGCTTTGTTTGTTTTTGTTTTTTGAGACAGGGTTTCTCTGTGTAGCCTTGGCTGTCCTAGACTGCTTTATAGACCAGGTTGGCCTTGAACTCCCAGAGATCCTGCCTTTGCCTCTAAAGTGCTAGGGTTAAAGGTGTACGCCACCATGCCTGGCTCTTGTACAGCTTTTTATGTATACGCTGAAGATACAAGCTCAAGTCTTCAGCTGTACACCAGGCACTTTATCAGCCGAGCCACCCCATCCCCCAATGTTGAACCTTCTTATTGTGTACGTGGAAGACTTTTCTTTTGGAGTATAAGCCTAAAGGTGGAATTAGTAACATGGTTGTTTGTCACAGGCCAGTTAGCCTTAAGGATGAAGTTGTTATATTAGCATCTTTCAGTAGCTCCATTCATGCTTTGCCTTCTTCTGTAGATGGCTTGATAGCTTCCAGAGTAAACTTGAATAATGCAATAATGAAGCTCTGTGGGAACCCATCACACTACCCCATTCACTTTCAATTAAAAATGTAAATTCATAGTGTATCACATCATAGGACAGCGTCTTGCTAGTGCCAACAGGCATGTGGTTTGTGAGATTTGACTGAAAGACAGCAGATTCTGAAAAGGAAAAAGTATCTCATAGTCAAAGCTTTCTTTATCCGTCCCTCACACACATGTGCACAGCACCACCCCCAGCTTTGGGGACTGGACAGTCATTCTAGGCCAGCACTCTGCTTCTGAGCTACATTCCCCGCCTGTAGCCAAAGCTCTATAAGAGGGATGTCTTGGGAGATTGTTCATTTGTTCATATTGTGAACAATATGTAAAGGTTTCTCTCTTCCATGCCATTTCATACTCAAAGGTTCAATAATCTTAGAATTTGAACTTTAAAACAACTGGCACATTTAGCAGCAATTTTAAATATATGTTCTAAGTTTAAAAATTAGATGTACTTATCTATGAAAGAAATAGGCTTAGATTTAAAATATATTTAAAATGTTATGAATATTATATTGCTTTTTATGCTATAATGAAATACCATGACCAAGGGAGCTTAGAAAAGAAAGAGTTCTAGAGGGTTGGAGTCTGTAACAATAGGGATAGTATAGTGAGACAGCAGAAAGCTAAGAAATCACAACTGTTTTTTTTTTGTTTGTTTGTTTTGTTTTGTTTTGTTTTTTAGATAGGGTCTCTCTGTGTAGCCTTGGCTGTTCAGGAACTCACTCTGTAGACCAGGCTGGCCTCAAACTCAGAGATCCACCTGCCTCCACCTCCTGAGTGCTGGGATTAAAGCTATGTGTTACCACACTGGGCCTGAGGTTACATCTTTAACAGCAGAGACAGCGTACTGAAAGGAGCGGACTATGAGCCCTCTTGCTTCTAGTGATGTTCTTTCTCCAGCAAGCTAAACCACCTTCCTAAGCAGTACCACTAATTAGGAACCGTGTTTTCAAGGACTTGTGCCTATAAAGGACATTTCTCTTTCAAACTAGCACAAATATGCCAACTCCTAGGCTTAGGTGAAGACCTTTCTGTCTTAAACATTAATGTTTACCTTTAAAAGGGAAACTTCTGTTGCCCTCAGATCAAAAGGTAGAACAATAGAGTTGGCAGCAGACAGCTACCATCAACCTTGTCATACATGTGTCTTCACTGAACTGCTGTTTACTTTGAATTGGTTTACTCAGGGGACTGGAGAGATGGCTCAGAGGTTAAGAGAACTGTCTGAAATTGGTTTACTCGAGATTTTCAAATTGGGCTCTTAAAAACTTCATGTAATGGTTTTCTGATAATGTAGAGCCAACCAGTGTTCCTAACGCCTTGATGTTGTGTGCTTGTGTGTTAAATATTTACATTTTCATTTATTTAACTCTTGAGGCAGGACTTTACTATGCATTGTTGGCCAGCCTCAAACTCACTGCCTTGAGCAGGCTAGCCTTCAACTCAGAGATCGTCCTGCCTCCGCCTTATGAGCCCCTAGACTAAAGGCAATCAGGACATTTTCCAGCTTAACTTTATTTTTTGAATCAAGATTTCTGTGGCCTTCACTGGCCTTGAACTCATAGCCATCCTCCTGCCACACCCTTCCTAGTGCTGCAGTTACAGTCATGAGTCAACCATGTGATTTATTTAACTTTGAAAAGGTATTTAAAAATCGTATTCCCTACTACATCTGTGATGAATGATATTCACTGTTCTGTTTCTGTATAAAATAGGTCAAGTCATTAGCCCACAAAGTAGCGGAAGTGGAACAGAACTAACACCTGACAAGCCAGGGTCATCTGCACAGGAGCCCAGTAGCCAGACGCCCTTGAAGTCTATGCTTGTCATCAGTGGAGGAGAAGGCTACATTGACTTCCGGATGGGTAAGTGTTAGGTTCTGGCAGGTCAGTTTCCACTGTGCTCTGTGAGTTGGGTTTTCACTCACAGTGAATAAGAAATCACTCTGTTAATGACTTCTAAGTTCTCTTTGAACTTTTTACTTGGAGAGGGATTTTGCATGTTTTTCTGTTTCTACTTATGTATTATATGTGTGTACATGTTTCTCTCATACCAAAAAAACATTAATTTGAAAGAACATTATAAATTATAAAAGCTCTATGTTTAGGTTCATGTGAAGGGCTGAAGAATTGTAATCATAAGGCCTTGAGTGAACTGTCCACTCTCCCAAAACCTGTTTTTTCACCCACAAAATAAATAAACAAACAAACAAACAAATAAATAAATAAATAAATAAATAAATAAATAATGCTTTATAAAACATTATGTCAAAATTATTTTATCTGTTGACTTTCTCACCTTGAGTTGGCCAGCCTTAAAATTAATTAAGTCACTTGTAGGCTTAGATTTTTCACCAAACGTATTTTATTTAGAGTTTTTAAACACCTTTATCCCTCTTCCACCCCCACCCCCACCCCACCTTAGATAGGAAATTAGAAGAGAAAAGGGCTGTAGACCTCTTTTATGTACTTCCTGCTGATTAGGGTCAATGGATCTTTAGGGGATTACCAAATTCAATCATCAGGACACCAGCAGTCCAGTCCAAAGGCCAACAACAAGCCGCAACACAAATCAGCACAACAAGTCGATGAAAGCCACAAGACTCAGTTGGATTGCCCCAGAAGTTCTGTGGAATGTTTCTCTCTTTGAAGTCAAGTGTCAAAGCACAAAGATCAGTGCAGTGATATCAATCCAAAAAGCAATGTCTTGCTGTCCATGGACTTCTATATGTCTTCCCTTCTCAAAGTCTACCCACAGATGTTCTCAGCTGGCCAAAATCATACCCCTCACATGAAAGAACTCACAGCAAAACATCATGTGCCCTGTCACAAGCCAACCTCCAGCAAAACACATACCCCACTTGCAGCAAAACATCAGATGACAAAACTGGGTCTTCAAGGAAAGCAGAAACTTCCACTTCAGTCACTAGCCCCTTGTAATAGATTTTTTTTTTTTTTTTTTTTTTGTCTTTCTGAGATAAGGTCTCTGTATTACGTTGTGGAGCTGGCTTTGTAGACCAAGCTGGCCTCAAACTCAGAGATCCTCCTGCTTCTGCCTTCCAAGTGCTAGGATTAAAGGAGTACATTGCCACATTTGCTCACTTCCATAGGTTTTATAGAACAATACAGAGCTTAGGCTGTTAACAAGTGAAAATATTGTAAATTCTGGAGAGCTGTTAGTTCTTCCCATGGTGGGAAGATAAGGTAGAGAAGAAATAGTGCTTGAAGTGAGGCAGTATCAAATAGCCATAATCTAAAGGGTTGCATTAGAGAGCAGGGTGGTGAGGGCTGAGGATTAGCAATTCCTGTTTGTTTGTTTGTTTGTTTGTTTGTTTGTTTTAAGCTGGACTGAGGTGATTCTGTTTTATTTGCTTTTTTTGTGGAGTCTGTTTTCCAATGTTGGGTATTAAAACCAGGACTTCATACATGTTAGATAAATGCTTTACCACTGAGCATGTCAAAACCCCAATTTGATTAAAAGGTTAGACAGATGAAACCATCTTAGTTGAAGAAAGTCTTTTAAAAAGGTGAAAGCAGAGAATACAGATTTCTCATCCAGAAGGAAGGTGAGATGAGTTGTGGAAGACCTTTATATACTGTATATAATTGTGTCTGTTTAGACAGAAAGAAGAGAAAAAGAAAGTATTTTCCTAGGGTCTTAGTTAGGGTTTTTGTTGCTGTGAAGAGACACCATGACCACGGCAGCTGTTATAAAGGAAAGTATTTAATTGGGGGTGGTTCACCTTTCAGAGGTCTGTTAACATTGTGGTGGGGAGCTTGGTGGCACACAGGTAGATACTGTGCTGCTGGAGAGGGAGCCAAGAGTTCTGCTCTGTAGGCAGCAGCTGCTGGGGCTGGTTTGAGCATCTAAAATCTCAAAGCCCACCCCCCGTAGCATACCTCCAACAAGGCCACATCTCCAAAATTACTACTCCCAGTGAGTCTGTGAGGGCCATTTTCATTCAAAGCACCACAACAAGTAAAATTTGCACTATCTTTCAAGCAAAGGAGAATTGCAGAACTTGAGATGAAGGAGCAGTGTGGCTAGATTTGGGTAGAAGGTATTTAGGTTTAAGTCAAGAGATTCAAAATGAGTTAGGAAAAGTGGATGTCAGGGCTAGAGAGATGGCTCAATGGCTAAGAGCACTGTCTACTCTTCCAAAGGACCTGGATTCAATTCCTAGCACCCACATGGCAGCTCACAACTGTCTGTAACTCCAGTTCCAGGCCTCATACCAATTCACACAAAATAAGATTAAATAAATTATTTAAAAGGGGGGGGTGGCACATGCCTTTAATCCCAGCACTTAGGCGATAGAGGCTGGCAGATCTCTGGTCTTTGAAGCAAGTCCAGGACAGCCAGGGCTATTTCACAGAGAAACCCTGTCTCAATAAAAACAAAAAAGGAGGAGGAGATGATGGTGATGATATCTGAGTCAGCTGCTTATGGTGGAGACAAAAGTAGTGGAAGCAACACCATGAGGAACCATTAGCTAGTAGGTGTGGAGAGTCATGTTCACTCAGCGCTGTCTAAATGGAAGCAGCCTGAAGATAGGAAAGGGAAAAGGAGCGCTGTACGAATAGATGTTTGCTTGCTACAAAGAAACACAGTAGTCAAAAAAGAGTCTTAGTATTCTGATGACTAAAATTGTCATAAGTTATAAAATGCTTGTAGAGAATACAGTAAGGATGTTTATTAGAGTAGAAAATGCAGGGTCTCATTGGTGGTAGTGTACATGTGTTCAGTATAAACCAGAGCATGTAATGCTAAAGCTCTTGGCATACCTCTGTAGGCCAGAAGCATTAATGTAAAGTTTAGAGATTGATGCCAGCAAGAGCACCAGAGTTTTAAAGCATTTCAAGTGACTGCTGGCACAGGACAGTTTTATGTAAAGGAGCTGTAGGGACTCTCCTTGGGTCGGTGACTGTTACAGCTTTTTCTTGGAGTGAAGTGTGGCAGTTGGAATCATATTAAAGAATATGCTAGTCAGATCTCTGTAGTTCCCACCTCCACCAATGCTTCCCATTGCAGACTCTGAAAACAGCATGAAAATTGCTTTACCAGGTTGGCAGTATCTCTAGTAATCCAGCCTGGAAAATATACTCTTTTTTTTATTTAAGCAAATGCTAATTTTAATAGTGAGTATGATGTTTTTAAAAACAAAACATGGTAGTACACTTTTAATCTCAACACCCATGAAGGCAGGGACAGATGGAGCCTGGTCTGTGCAGTGAGTTCCAGGACACCAGGGGTACAAAGTGAACTGCTATCTCAAAAAAAACAAAACAATAACAACAAAACACCTTGGATTTAAACTTGTTGCTGTTCTTATTTATTTTCTGTAATGTTTTAACAGTAAGGAATTTATGCCAGCATTCCTGTATTTGTAGGGGCTCAGCTTAAATTAGGATATAGAGACCCGGGGAAACAAGATATTAACAGTCTTCAAAACAGCTCAGAAAGCAAGTAACTAGCAACCTTTGTCTCAGCCACCTCATTGTGTGGCCCTGCTGGCTTACAGTTGACTCTTCTAGACCAGGCTGGCCTGAAACTCAATGAAGTTTGCCCACATTTGCCTGGAGTGCCACGATTAAAGGCATGCTCCACAACACCTGGCCCATTATAAATATTTGGGGCTGGAGAGATGGCTCAGTGGTTAAGAGCCCTAGCTGCCCTTCCAGAGGACCCTTGTTCTATCCCCAGCATGCATATGGAGGCTTCCTCCGGTGCTGTGGGATCCAGTACCTTCTTCTGGCCTTCTTGGGCACCGCATGCACATGGTGCTCAGGTGTGCAAGCAGAACATCTATACACATAAGATAAAAGTAAATAAACCTTTAAAAAAAAGAGCAAAACTTATTTTTTCTTACATATTTTATTTTAGTTGGAGAAACTTGACTTTTTGACCTTAGCCATGCTCACTATATTTTGACATTGCTATGAAAAGGCTATTTTTGGGGGAAATGTCGTTCAGAGAAAAATGTGTGTATTCTGTTATTTCTTTTCCTCTATTTTTGGTCAGTGGTGTCATTTTCTTCTGCTAAACTCAAATTGAAACATTACAAAATCCCAGTACTTCGGTGGAATATCTTTATTTCTTAGTGTGCACATTCTCAGGATTCTGCTGAAGAATTCATCCCACTAAACAAGTTGTCAGCTAGATTGTACCAGAATAACCTTTGCTCTGCAAGCAGGCTGGCTGCTGCGAGCTGTGGAGAGGAGCAGCAGAGCCTGTGCGGTGCTCATTGTCTCGGATGGAGAGTTTACCCCAGTCACCGAGAACCAGCAGGGCCTCGTGGGCCTTAGTTAATAGGCTCCTTATTTACGCTTTCCTAATTTGAAATAAACAAGAGTAGAATATCCATTTTGGAAAAGCACAGAACTGGATACATTTGCTTTTCTCATCTCTCAGTTCTGTTATCCGTTAGCAGACATGTTGTGATGTCTGTCTAGCGTAGTATTGTGAACTAGCTTTCATGAATGAAAGGAAAAAGGAATTTCAGAAGTCAAGCACTGGTCTGGGTGAGTATAGGTGAAGATTCTGGCTCTCATTTTTTTTTTTTTTTTTTTTTTGTCATTCTTACATTTAGTGTGCACGTGTATCCACTGTGGTATACATATGGAGATCAGAGGCAGTTTACATGAATTAGGTTCTCTCCTTCCACCATGTGGTGGCAAAGGCTTTTATCCACTAAGCCATCTCACTGGCCCCCAACTCTTCTTGTACTTTTTTTTTTTCATTTGTGTGTGGGCTGTGTGTGTGCACGCATGCATGTAAGTGCGCCATGTGTGTATGGGTACCCTTGGAAACCAGAAGAGGGAGTCAGATCTCCTGGAACCCTAGTTACAGATGGTTGTGAGCTGCCCCACATAGGTAACCGGTCCTCTGGAAGACTATCAAGTGCTCTTAATCTCTCATATCTCCAGCCCCCTGGTATTCTTTACTGTGTTCTCTGCAATAGAAATCAAACAACCTTTGTGCATCAAGTTCATAGGCTAACTATGAGTCCAGTTCACAGCATTTGTATTTTCTGTATTCAACCTAACCTCAGTTCCCTTATGTTCCCTTAGGTGATGAAGGTGGAGAATCTGAACTACTTGGAGAGGATCTTCCACTGGAACCTTCGGTCACCAAAGCAGAAAGGAGTCACCTAATAGTGTGGCAAGTGATGTGTGGCAACGAGTGAGCCTATGAGAGGCCAGTGGAGATGAGGAGCTGCCTCTTCTGCATGGTTTATTTTTTCTTTCCCTTTACTTAATGCTCTTTTTGTGAAAGACGTTTCACCACACAATATGTGAGCATTTTTCCCTGTTACCTTATATTGCAAAATCTGTCCTATGTTAACAATACAGAGGAGCGAGCTAGTTTACTGCACCAGTGTTAATGGGAAATTTCAGTATATCATGAACAAATCAAGGAATGTTTACTTTCTGCAAACTGGTGAATTACAGGAAGCAATCCAGATGTGGTTTGCTCTGCCACAGTCTAATGTCACTCACTTAATTGATGAGGTCATGTTTTAGCTGTCACTAATAATGGAACTAATGGAAAAGACTTAATAAATGAAACTGTACCAGTAAGTACAATAGAGTTTTCCCCAGTGTATTATAGAATTGACACACTAATAACAGATGGAATATCAGGATTCCTCTAAATGTCCCAAGAGGGCTAAGAGCTAAGTGTAAATTACTTTCACTTTCAATTCTGACAAATCTTGTTTATATGGTATATAAAACTTTGTTTTCATCAGATTTGGGGGGTTTTATATTAAAGAAATTAAGGCTACACTATTTAAATAAAATTTCTTGTTCCTGTCTCGTTAGAACTCTAAAGTTTATGAAGCCTGCTTCTCTGAATATTGTCATTTTTTTTAGACTAATTTCACCCATTTTCATACTGACATTTAAGAAATGTATTATCTGAAGCTTAGGAAATATTCTGGGAAGTGTGGAGGACACTTCAATACTGGAAGGATGTTCTAAAAGGAAACTGTGTTTTGTATTCCTTGTCTTAGAGGATGGTGGTAATTGATTTCACTTTTTTCCATGGAAAAAAAAATGTACATGTTAGCTTAAATGTTCCTAGGCTGCTCTTAACCTGTTAAGGAGGGGACACTGTGGTGGCTGTGGATTCAGCCCAATTAGCTGAATGCAGAATGATTAGGAAAGTTGATTTCTTTTGTTCTGTGTTAAATTATCAGACACCTAATGCTCGCTTGGTATAAAATAATGCTTCAGCAATTGTACCCTGCTTAAAATGCCATCTCCAAGGGAAGTGCTGGTGGAAGCCAGCAAAGTCAGCATTAGTCTTTCCATTCACAAAATCCATTTGAAAAAGTAGGTTCAAATCTAGCTTTAACTGATAACCTTATGCATTTTCAAAAACGATGCCATAGGGTTTTTTTTTTCCTCAAGCTTTCTGAAAATGTATGATTTACCATTTCTTACCCACTGCTGTAAGCAAAGTTAAACATAATTTTAAGTGCTATTTTAAAAATTAAAACATATAGGAAACAGATCCTCTGGTCATTGGAAGGAAGGACCACTTCATAGACAAGAAATCAAACACAGATTTCTAGTTGTCTAAGCATTCTTAGCATACCAGGATCACCCCCCACTTGTGATACAAAATTATCTGTAAAAAGTATACCAGTGATTTTTTTTTTTTTTTTTTGTGCATATACATGATTAGGCTAGATCCTAAAACACATGGGACCTAATGAGCATGGGAGGCTTTTGTATTTAAAGCACATTGGGCACACTCTAAAATGTGGCCCCTGTATGTTTTAAGAGAAAAACACCTGTTTTGATAAAGCATATTATATTATCATAGAGGATAATATTTTGTTTGATCTACTTATTCATTTTTCTTCAGAGCAGATCGCTTTTCCATAGCTTGTTCGCTATGTCTTTATTTTAAATCTGAGTTACTTGGGGCAAATACTTTTTAAAAAGCATTAACATTTATTAAAATGTTGTATAAATTCCTAAGGAGACACCAAAGTTGGGGAATTTTAATCCCAAGAAATGTCCTAGAGTCAGACCCCTTCATCATTGTTCAGAAGCTCTTTACCTGTTTGTGTGGTCCAGAGTAACTCAGGAAATCAGAAGCTAAAGAAGACACATGCATTTGTGTTACCCTGATTATAACTGTTCCTTTGAAACTTAGTGACGTTGACTTCATGCGCAGACTGTCGATGCATGTTGATTTTAGCTCAAGATCCCAAATTGCTGTGGCCCTGTGAACTAATTTCAAGGAACAGAGAAAGCAGATACATCTGTACAGATTGTTTTAAGGGCTGGGCTTACATTTGTAATTCTGCTTCTTACTCTCTACTCCATAACATATATTCTTGTGATGCTTATTTTGGCCAAGGGGGTAATCTTTGGAAGAAATGCCAGAATATAAAATGGTTACAAACAGTAAAAGGGTCTAAAATGTCATAGTCACCACAAGGCAGAGGAGGCTTGAGTGCCTCTGGGCAGTCTCCCATGCAAAAAAAAAAAAACAAAACAAACAAACAAAAAACCTGACTTTTAGAGGAAGAAGGCAGAGCACTGAGAGTTCTTGTTTTGTTACATCTGGATTATACACGAGACTGAAACATACGAAATTACCAATGTACAGCCATTGTTGGTCTATAAAAACAGCAGCATTGCATGTTTCAATGTGCTAGGAAGTGCAGGTTAAAATCTCTGTGAGCCAAAAGGAGACTTTTCTAGAACTCAGTTTTGAGAATGTCTTTCTCTTAACTCATATAGAGCCAAACTGGAAAATAGTATGTATCTATTAGAAGTTGCAGCTTGCTGGGAGTGAAAAGCATTTCAGCACAGAGTGTGCAGCGCATCACTACTCAGATGGAATGTGTTTGCTGTGGAAAGGTTAAAATGCACTCTCAGTTGCATTGTTCTTTCTTGTGAAGCTAAGAAGAGACCACTTAACTTTCAGCCTTCATAACAGAACAAAATGCCTCATACTAAAAAGAATGTGTGTCTTGAAAATGCCATGGAAATGGATATTTATTTCCTAGTAAGTATTATGACTATTACCAAAGGACTCAACCAGATTTAGGGTTCTTAATTGATCATGTTGGGAAAGGGGCTGACTGCGTCCCACTTTATAAGATGGGAAGAGAAGGAAATAAATGTTGAAATCATAAATGCTTTTCTAACAGGGTTGTGCTATTCTGTAACACTAATTGTCTTTTTCTTTCTCTAAAAAAATGAAGTTTTATTAATGATTTTGTCACATTATTTCTCGATATTTGAATATGTTTTAACTGTTTATGTCCTAAATTTGTTTTTGTCCTAGACAGCCAGAGCTCCCCTTGCCTCATGGCCTGGGCTCTTGAGCGTCCCTCTTGTCTCTTAGGCGCTTTGTTTCTATGCGCAAAAGCTCAGTTAGCAGTACAGTTAGCTCAGTATTTATTTCTACTATGGAATCCCTGGGGTTCGGAATGTAACTTTGTACATGAAATATATATAAATATGTATATGAAACATGTGAGCTCCAGTGTGCTTTGTTTTTTCCTTTCTTGGGGCTCTAGACTTGGTTTCTATCTGAAAGTCCAGTAACATCTCCCGTAAAACATCATTTCTGAAAGCGAAGATTATAGTTCTTTGACACTGGCTAAAAGTGAGCAGGGGCCATTTAGACTTGTCTGTGGCTTACAAGTCCAGAGGACACATGGCAGTGGTCAGGAGGGCTTCAGCTGACAGGAATGCTGGGTAAACTCTGCATGCGGCCTCCTGCGATTGATTACTCAGTGGCAAGAGACATGTTGCAGTGTGTATTTTTGACACGTGTGACGCACTTGTTCAGGGAGGTGAGAACATGAATGATTATAAAGGAGATCTCACAGCAGCACAGCATTTATTGCAGTAGTATTTAATGTGATACCAATGTGTTTTGATTATGTTTTCAAGATAAGTGAAATTTGGTGAATGGTGAGATTTGCTGCCAGTGAGTTGACACAGTGGATAAAGGTGCTTAAGATCACTCCATAGAACCCATATGAAAAATGACCTCTACAAGTCCTCTGTGACCTTGGCATGTATGCGGCACATACACACACGCGAGCACACGCACACTCACACTCACATACACATTGGGGGTGGCAATTTTAAAAATTAAAATTTAGTAATGGTGAAGTAGTTCTTCTCTTCCCTTTTCCCTCCTTTTCTCCTCCTTGCCCCCAATGCAGACATCCACATGCCCCTCCCTTCTGAGTGCTGGGATTAAAGGTGTGCACAATCACGCCTACCAAAGACGACGACTACTTCAGCTTCTCCACAATAATAATAATCTTTATTTTTTTATTTTGTTCTTTTGATACAAGCTCTACTTACTGGCCTTGGCTTCCCTGGAACTTTCTGTATAGACTAGGTTGTTCTTGAACTCACAGAGTAAGAGACAGTGGGGTTGGGTTAAGGAGCGCTGGAATACTTAGGATTTCCAGTTTATCAAAGGAGATACTGAAGCCAAATATTTTAGTTCTTTGCTTTTTTGGCCAGCTAAAAGCAGCATAATAGCTTCCACCCACAGAGCTAAAAAGAGTTGTGATTTGAGTTTAGGCCCTAAAATAGAGAACAGGATGTACCCTGACTGTGGGTATGGTAATCTCACCCAGCAGTGGCAGTTCCCAGTCAGGCCAGAAGAGGGAGCTGTGGCTATGCTATGCCCTGGAGCCGTTGCACGGTAAGGTTTCTCCTGCTTGCATCGCAAGTTACCACTCATTCTGATCATCAACAGGCAATTGGTAACATTTGCTTACAAGAATGAGAGCAGCAGCCAGGCATGGTAGTGCATACCTGTAATCCCAGCACTTGGGAGAAAAAGGCAGGCAGAACTCTGTGAGTTCGAGGTCAGCCTGGTCTACAAAGTGAGTCCAGAACAGCCAAGGAGAGAAACCCTGTCTCAAAACATAAAAAAAAAAAAAAAAAAAAAAAAAAAAAGAAGAAAAGAAAAAGGAATGAGAGCAGCCCACCTGGATCCCAAACATCTTGTTTCCCAGGAGACAAAGCCTCATTTGTTCGTGGCCTTTGTGTAGTGACTGTGAGGTTTACCCTCACCTCAGCTTCAGAGTCCTTAGTTTCTGATTCCAGGGCAGTTGAAGACTGGGATATTTAAATTTGCTGCTACCTTACAAGGACAGACCGTATTTCCTCTGATGAGCCTGAATTGCTTGGGAAGACAGGTCTCGCTCGTAGTTTTCATAGGAAGGAGCTGTTAGCTTCATGCCTCGTGTCATTTTCATGACGTTTAGTTTTTCCAGATGTGTGTCCAAAAAAATCACAGGTGATCTGCAGAGAACCCACTGTGGAGAGCATTACTGAGCCCAAGTTATCCAGAGGCCTGGCCGTGGAAGTGCCCTGCCTTCTGGTGGGCAGGTCTGACAGATGAGAAGGCACCCCAGTGGTTGAAAGCAGATCACCTGGCCATGGAGCTGCTGCACCTGGGGTTAAGACCTGCCTTCCAGTCCTGGTCCACCAGCTGCTAATTTGTGACCCTCCGATAGTTACATAACTACCGTGTCCCCTCGCTGCAGCACGCCCCAGCCCTACGGGGCACTCAGCAGCTGCCCTTCGGGGGTCCCACAGGTCGATGTGTAAATGAACAAGAGGAGCACAGGTTGATGGGAAAAGCTGACACAGAAACGTCTTACATGTCAGGAAAGCTGACATGTAATCAAGCGGATGCAAAGCAGGGGTTGGACACATGACCCTGGATTGTTGTCCACTCACAATGTGATAAAAATAACATTTGGCTGCAAGAATTTCCCATCTGTTTGTTAGCGTTCCAAGCCTTGTGTGGTCCTCGGAGGAAGGTGGTTCCCAAAGAAGCAGAGGTTCTTTGACCCTGGGAGATACCTTTTCTTGTTGCCCTGCCATCCCCAGTTTAAATAAAGAAAAAGAGGTTTATTCTGAAAATTAAACACAGGCTACATTTTACTACATTTTACATTTTACTACATTTTACATCTATGGGCTAGTTCCATTCCTAACACAGAGAGAAGTGTGGAAATAGTGGTAAAGTTGACATTTTTAGAGACCATTCATATATACTTGCCACCTGTTGCTCATAATGCTTTATAACAAGAACCAAACTCGGCACATATCATTAAATGGAGAATAGACACAGGACTAAGTAAAATTAACATCAAATGTACAACAGAGCAGGGAATGGTGTCCAGAAGGCTTCTATGTTTTTGGTATGACTTTAAAGCTTAGTAGTACTCTTGCCAAGCAAGAAGGCAAAATTGCATCTTTGGAAATATTAGCAGGGCATCTCAGGCACAGACACCCTTAAACAGAGTAACAGTTAGAACCCTGGTTTTCCTCCTTGGCACCACAGTGATAATCTCGACATTCTTGGTTTCAAGAAAACATAAGACCATGTATCACTCAGCAGTTAACAAGATGCCTGTATCCTTCAATGCAGAGGCCTCATTTTCTTTTCCCATTGCCTGCTGCCAACAAGCCTACTTTCTTTTACCCTTAAACCATCCCAGACAAGGATTTGTGGTTTGAGTTTCAAATTTTGGAGTGAATTTTCAGCTACTGGCCTTCCATGATTTTTGGTTTGGTCTGCATCTGTGGGGGCAGAGGTAGGGGTCTATTTGTGGGGGGGGGGGGACATCCATGCTTCCCTCTTGGAGAAGTTACCCAGGACTTTTCACAGAGAACTGGGAGCAGCAGCATAAAGCATTCTTCACCAAGAGGCAAGCTTTACTCCGGGGCATCTCAAGCACTTGTGTTTCCTGGGGGATCTGGGCAATCATCAACACCTTTAGACACCTTCCTAGGTCCCCTTTAGCAACTGAGATGATGGGGTGAGAGATGAGGTGTAATGAGGGAGAGAGTCCTTGAATTACAGACCCCATCACTCACAGAGCAGGAAAGGAGTTGGGTAAAGGAGACCCACTGCGCCAGGAAGAGATCAGACTCCTCCCTTTTCAGCACAAGGTGGCGCCATACTGGTGTTAACCTTCCAAGGGCCAGGAAGCCCAAAGCCAAGAGCACAACAGCAGACATGAGCCTGGAACTCTGGACTCATTGACTCCCTGCTCCCTCTTCCCCCCCACTTCACCCTTCCTGTTTTTTCCCACTGCCCTGGTGCTCCTCCTCACTCCTTCACTAGGGGCAGGAAAACACTTTTGTTCGGCTCTACCGAGGTAGCCTATAGCCTAGGCAGCCAGGGACCCAGGCATGAGGCTGGTGCTGAAGTGAGCAGGTTTTGAGATGGATAAGAGAAACATTGGCCTAAGGGATTTGTGGAAGTGTCCATACCACAATTTCTGTTCTTTGAAGTTGCAGAGGAATTTCTGCTGCCTCTGAGCATGCTAAAGGAAATGTCACGGAATCAGCTTAGTGAGTTGCTTCAATGGAAATTTCATCCAAGCCGATAACAAATAGGAGTTACATAACTCAGCAGCAGGTCACAGCACTAACTAAGCCCATTATAGGCCTTCAATCCACATCTATTTCCTGGCTTTTATCGCTGCTGCTGGAAAATAAAGGAGGGGGTAAGGATTAGAGGGAGAGCATTTGTGTGCCTAGAATAAACCTCCAAGGCCTCTTTCCCTCTCCTCTCTGCAGTCCCTCCTCATTTTACTCTCAGGGACCTCCTGCTAGTCCACTGCCCTTGCCACCAGGAAGCTCCCAACCCCCTCCCCAGATGCTCTGTGTGACCACTTAGCGTGGTCATTTTTCTCTCTGAGCCTTGATTTTCAGAAAGTTCTAAGACACAACAGGGCTGGGCCAGATGGATTTTAGGATAGCTTTCTGGCCCAGGATTTGCAACAGTGTGGCAGTGGGGGTGGGGGGAGGGCAGGAGGGTTCCTCCACCATCTGTGTTAGTTACATGTTAGTGGATCTTGCTGGGGGGAAGAAGATGAAGTACACATCACCAGAAGGCTGGGACAGGTTTTGACTGTCATCCCCATGGAGGGGAGACAAGCTTAAGGAACATTCCCCAACACAAGGAGCGGGTCAGAGGGTGGATGCTATGGGGGGTAAACTGGGAGCCACAGGGCCCCTGGTGAAGCACCCCTGTGGCCTCCCTGAGGTCTGTCACAGTCCAGCCATGTCAGCTCACCTGAACCACACACCCGACTAAAACAGGCACAGGCCTGAAGGATGAGGCATCTCAACAGCAGTGACTACCAGCCTCAAGCTTAGGGAGTTCAGAGGATTCAGTTATTTCAGAAGGATGAATACAAATGCCCCAAACTCCAGCCAAAGTGCCTCTAGGGAGGTAGCTCCCCCCATCATCCCCACACTGAAAGCTCCATCTGGGACTGAGCCCTGTGCACTGCAGTCCAGACCCCAGAAGCTGGCATGGCTGGAAAACACAGGGAAAGAAAGGGAAGAGCCAGGTTGTGGCAGGAAATGACAGAAAAGCTGGGGAGGGACTGGATTAGCCAGAGAGTTTTGAGGGTCCTTGCAAAGACCATTTTTTCAGGCAGAAGCCAAGCTCCCAGCCCTTCTTTCAGGGCCCT